ACATACAAACACAATCAACATGGAGCTTAGCAATGGTCACAACAGGTCACACATACAAAAACAGTCAACATGGAGCTTACCAATGGTCACAACAGGTCACACATACAAACACAGTCTACATAGAGCTCAGCAACAGGTCACAACAGGTCACACATACAAATACAGTCAACAAGGAGCTCAGCAAGGGTCACAACAGGTCACACATACAAACACAGTCAACAAGGAGCTTAGCAACAGGTCACAACAGGTCACACATAAAAATTCAGGGGATATAAAGTCCAACTTTGATCACAAAAAGGCACACATATTATGTCACGCGCAGCCGAATGCTTTTGTTGAAAATGCTCAGGCCTTCAAGCTGAACTCTCATCGTATTGTATTGTTCAAAACGAAAACTGCCGTGAATGGCAATCGTCATGAGCAATCGAAATCAACAATGTACTCATCATTAGAAAAGCGCTCTTTATCAAGCATAGGAATTGTGGAATTATGGAAACAGGGATTTAAAATGCTTTTAAAAGACGCCAGTCTAAGTAGGAGCCAGAATAGCTTCATAGTACGCTTCCTCCAATGTTTCTTTTGCAACCTAATTAAAGGACTACAAATTGTAACTAATGCAGACAGTGTCGCGTCTTCCAGATGTTGAAAATTAAGCTGAATTCGCTTCTATTGTAGGAGTTAATTCCAGAAATTTTCGTTTTGGTTCGTCAAAGGTTTATTCATTTGAAAACGATTATTGGCTACTTCATAAAAATGAAATAGAAAAAAGTAATTAAGCGTTAAAACATAAAAATTAGATCTTCAGAGCCTGCATACGAAAAGGCTAACGGTTGGAACATAGAAACCCCTATAAGAAAGGAAATACATAATAACCCTCCACAAAACCCCCCAGAACAATCAGACGCTGTGGGAAGGTGCGCGTTGTCTGCACCATCAGCGACTCCAGTCACGGGACCAGCAGAACAAAGTCGGTAGTGCGCCGGTAAGTTGACGCATGATCCCAGGTTCGGATACCGCAGACGGCGAGATATGATTGCCTCAATCAGCAAAACACGTTACCCTTACTGCACAACCCCAACCCCCGGGACAGAGTATGTTGCCCTGCTACTAAGGAAGCTTTGTTTCTCTGACATTGATCATGTTTCACGGGGGCAACTAAAAGGTATTGTGCTGTTTTTTAAGTAGACATAATGATAGTCAAGTATTCGTTTAATTAGTCTCCTGATTGGGTTGAATATATATCCATAATAATGTTGGTCATTTCTAAAGCGCCGAAGAGTAATTTCCCCGAGATAGGATAAGACGTTATAAAAATAATGCATAACAAAATATTTATGTCTTACATCAATTCCATGACAGTATGTCGGTCAAAGCTATCAAAGACATAGCGGGCATGTTGTAATGACAAATCGTTTGAGAATCTGCTATATTTAGACCCCGTGCTCTAGACATTGTACAACCACGACCGCAATCCGCTCAAGCTTTGTGAAAGGCATTAACTTAACCCAGTCTTCATCTCCGTCGCTCCGCGCACTTTCGATGCTTCTGTCCAGGCTGACGGCTGTAAGTCGCTATAAGACAAGTTTGCTGACATTCTATTGTATCGTTGTATTGATATTATATATAGCTATATATATTGATGACGAGGCCGAAGCCAGGCAGTACAGACAAATTACCGCCGTGATGCTAGTATCGTCTTACCAACATCTCGTTTAGACAGCAATGTCCTGATGAAGTATGATAAGGTTACTCTAAGTTTTGCGATTCGCAATTTTTATGAAATTTTACCAACGAATTTTCAACGAAATCCTAACGTTTAGGACCTTATCTTTTTCATTTGCAAAAAAATACTCTAAAACGTTTTACAGTACACAAATAATAATCGTTATATAGAGTAGCCGAAGCATAGGGGAAATATATTATATTTACACTTTACACGTGTAGGTGTTTACAAGACGTCTTCACTAAAATGCAGTTTAAGCTATTCCAAAAAATATGTAAACTTCAGAAACAATTTAACGGTTTCCATACAGGACACGGTGCGTGATTTCTGGAACACAAAGCAAGGATTTTGTGTTCGCCCTCTGTGATCGTTTCTGTAAATACTGAGGAGCTGTTCATTTTCGCGACTTGTATAGAGCCCGTCCCGTATTCATGAAATTGTTCTCATGCTCAAGCACGGATTCTGTGCTCAAACCAACTTTATTGTAATTCTCTTAAATCATGTCAAACGATCAAAAAGTCAAATGTAAGCATTGATAACAGTATTTGGCAGTATTTTGTTTTATTTTGTTTAACGTCATATTAACATCTAATGTCATTTAAGGACGTGCCTCCATGTGTGTTGTGTAAGCGTGCAAGTGTGTATGCATGCTTGAGACCGAGTATGTTGGTGAACTTGCCTCCTTGTAATATGCCGACTTTATAGTGCTATCTCAGGCCCCCAGCACAGCATTCCTCCCGCCGGTCACATTATACTGACAACAGGTGAACCAGTTGTTGCCAGTATCTTCAATGGTTTTTTTCAAAATCATTGACAAAATAATATTTTTTATTAAATTTTGAACAAGAAATTCAGCTTGAGCACAAAACCCATGCTTGAGCATGAGAACGGTTTCATGAATACGGGCTTAGAAAGTCTGAAAAGCAATAGTATCACTTCATTTTTGTGTGGTATACTCAACCTCGAAATCGTTCTGATCGCGATACATGTATCGAGAGGTAAACCCTCGGATTTCGAGGATGGCCATCGACAACGAATAATGTATGTCGACACATCTAAAAAGGTGTCGACATAATCCGAGAAGAGGTCGACACAGATGATGTCGACATAATCAATATTGTGGTGTTATGTACGGGAGGGACATTCGCGTTCCTTTGTCACTTATTGGTGCAAAGAAGAACAAATGTATTTAACCAGTCGGTTTGGTTTTCAAGAAATGATCATGTCCGTTCTAAAATACTTAATTTACCGTACAAGCTGCACTTTGTATATATTTTAAGAATTAATGTTTTGCTTCAGAAACAATCTCGCATACTTGAACCTAAATAGGTTTAATTTTGCTAATACATGTAATATTCTTACGTCCATGTGAAAATGGTTTTCTCTCAAAATGACAGATTCTTGCGATTATTTGAAAAATCAAACGTTATAATGTAATTATCACATAAGTTACTGTGCTATTCAGTGAATATACCCATGTCATATTTTTTGCGTATTAACCCAAGTAATAATATGACCTATCAGCCCTGTGATCGCGATCGGTTGTATCAATTGTGACGCCTAGGACAAGTACATGACGTCAGACTTACGCACTGGAGTCAAAATGGCGGCTTTTTGCATGAAAATATTGTCGTTTTACACGAATGAATGCCACAAATCTTGATTATGTGATAAAAAGAATATTACACTCGTTTTCATTTCATATGAAATTTATGAAACTCGTCACGAATTTTTCATTTACAAACTTCTTAGACTCGTTTCATACATGAAATGGAAACTCATGTAAGATCCTATATATATATAATATGTGTACTGGACCGATGATTGCTCATTGAGTCACACTGTATCATTGAATTAATTATAAACTTGCTAGTATGTGTAAAACAGCAGGCGGTCTGCCCATCCTTTATGGCGTAAACAACTTGATGTTTTACACAGATTCTCTACCACAATGGTTTGAGGGGAGCCGTTTTATCAGACTTTGGCAATCATGATATCATACTTTACTCATCGTTCAGACTTAGTGAAGAAGATATCAGACACAAGTGTTCGCGCCATCGAAGTGGTCTCTCCGTCAAATAACAGCCGCACCCCGAACGAAAAAAAAAGGATAAAATCTGCGATGACGACAGCGGTAATACAATAAGCAAACTGAGGTATTCGACAGCAGGAGTTTTCTATCCCAACAAATAAATCGACATGAATGTCCGGAATAACGAGGTTTCATTGTAATTTTTGTGTCTAGGATGACGAGGATTAGGGTAAGATAAATGTCCGGATTGATAAAGGTCCACAGTAAGTTTTGTGTCTAGGTAGAAGAGGTTCCATTGTAATTCTGTTCCTAGATTGGCGAGGATTATGGCAATATCAACATCCGGATAAAAGAGGTTCCACTGTAATTTAAGCGTACATATTGATCAAGTCCTACTGCAGGTCCCAACGACACACAATATTGATCGGTATCCCCATATTGTTTACTGTTTACAATACTGTTTTCGCGGTAGTGGTATTTTTGCGGTAAAAGTGTTTCTGGTGTTCCTGACTTTTTAGCGGCACCATGTCCCCCTTTCTTACTTTCTTACCATTCTGATTGCCAACGACCTCCTACTCTATGTTAAATAATTAAGATCGTCTTTCTGTCTAAAATCCGTTTGATATGCATCCAAATCCTAAAGCTATGTTTAAATTGTTTGTGTGTGTTTGTATGTATGTCGGATACCCATGCGGTCGATTGCGCTACACTTACCGGAAGTGTAGCACAATCTACCGTGGGTATCCCTAGCTGGCGTTTTTTTTTTGGCGTGGTAGATTGGCTGAGGTGAAATCGCAAAACTAACACGACAGGAAATGTATGGTCTCAACACGCACTTCATACCTAATCAAAATTACAAATGAACTCTTGTGCTCAAATTTTCAAATAAATACGAAAGTAGCGCTACAAGAAAGCAAAGCTGTTTATGGTATAGTGACATTGTTATACAACCCTTACATATTGATGCTTCCCTTGTTGCTTTATTACATACCACGCTTTGGACTGTTGCTCATTATGTTGCAAGGTCTTAATGGCTGTATCGTTCATTAACGTTAATAAATATCGGTATGTAAGGTTTCGGAGACACTCCCCTCCTTTGTGGCGTAGACAAATGCGCAAACAAATTATCTCGACCCTTAATAAAGATGGAACCATGTTCTCGATATTGACTAGCGGTGGATGGGAAGCAAATACGTGTACATATATATGTGAATAAAATAGGAACTTGGCAACAAATCATTCTAGATTAATTTTTTTCATTTTTATTTCATGACATGTAGGTTTTGGTTTTTCGTGAGAAGGAATAGAAATTGCCATTTCAATTGTCTTGAACCCACCCTTATAAGTGTAGCGGAACTGGACTGGATCGATTAATTGCTGGCAACCGGAGCGTCCGTCTAGAGTTCGGAGGGTTCCAAGTTACAAACCCAGACTGGCCGTGTATTTGTACTCTCTTGTTACATTTGGCGCCCAAACAAACATGCATTCGGAAGGTGGTATAGTGTCTTGTGTGTCTTCAGGGTCGAAGACTTTGTTGAAGGAGGGATCATGTAGCGGAACTGTACGGAGTGGATCACTGGCTACCATGTAGCTCAATTGGTTAGAGCATACGTCTAGAGTTCGGAGGAACCCGAGTTCGAATCCTGGTGTGGCCATGTATTTTTCCTCTCTTGTTACATTAAGCTATAAGCAATGGCATTTTTTTTTTTATTGAAAATCCTTGTGTAGTAAATATGGGATGCATTAACTACCCGTGAGGATGACATGATCTTTTTTAAACATCAAGTTCGTGTGCTTACAACCGCAAAACTCACATGAAGATGACGTTTACAAATTAACAAAAATCAACATTCCTTGGGTTACCATCACCAATGTTCTCTGCGCCCCATATATCATGACAAATTAGAATCGAAGGCTCAGTGTGCAGAGAACGTAAGTGAGCGTAACCCCTGGAATTTTGAGGATTACCGATTACAAGCTTAAGTGTTGTCATACTGAAATGTATGATTTTATGTAGTAAAAAAGTGAGTGAAATAAGTTTTTTTTCAAATCTTAATTGAAAATAAATATCTCCCTTTATTCACATTTTTAACGATAGTATATGTTATTTCAGTTGGAAAATGTTGAAATATCAAGCAGAACTACATCCCATAAATTCACTGGTCAAGAATGTCAACATCCCATAACTTCACTGGTCAAGTATGACAACATCCTATAACTTCACTGGTCAAGAATGTCAACATCCTATAACTTCACTGGTCAAGAATGTCCACATCCCATAACTTCACTGGTCAAGATTGTCCATATCCTATAATTCACTGGTCAAGAATGGATACATCCTATAAATTAACTGGTCAAGTATGTCAACATCCTATAACTTCACTGGTCAAGTATGTCAACATCCAATAACTTCACTGGTCAAGTATGTCAACACACTATAACTTCACTGGTCAAGAATGTCAACATCCTATAACTTCACTGGTCAAGAATGTCAACATCCTATAACTTCACTGGTGAAGAATGTTCAAGAATGTCCACATTGCATAACTTCACTGGTCTAGAATGACAGTCCACGTCGTATAACTTCACTGGTCTAGAATGACAGTCCACGTCCTATAACTTCACTGGTCTAGAATGACAGTCCACATCCTATAACTTCACTGGTCTAGAATGACAGTCCACGTCATATAACTTCACTGGTCTAGAATGTACATATCCTATAACTTCACTGGTCAAGAATGTACATATCCTATAAATTAACTGGTCAAGAATGTTCATATCCTATAACTTCACTAGTCAAGAATGTCCATATCTAATAAATTAACTGGTCAAGAATGTTCACATAGTATAACCTCACTGGTCAAGTATGTCCACATCCCATAACTTCACTGGTGAATAATGTCCACATTCCATAACTTCACTGGTCTAGAATGACAGTCCACGTCCTATAACTTCACTGGTCTAGAATGACAGTCCACGTCCTATAACTTCACTGGTCATCAATGTCCACTTAACTTCACCGGTCAAGCAGTTCCATGTTGGTTATGTTACAGCAGCATCATACAGTTGATCACACTCGGCTCGCAGGACGTCACAGAATACTTGGTAGTGGTGGTTGAGACCTGTTTGGGTGTGGAGTTTGTACTTTGATCCAAGAGCTCCTTCCTTGGGAAATGTACTCCCATAAAAGACACGCCCTATCCGGGAATGGACGAGGGCCATAGCACACCTGAAATTCACAGGTCAAATACTATTCAACTGGTATACTTACTCCAGATAGTAACATTTACAACGAGTAATTTAATGGTGTTTTATGTCAGAAATCACAGTGCCAAATAAAACTGCATGACTATGAAAATGCATATTAATATCATTTCTAAAGGTTTTATGTAGAATAGAAAGTAAAAAGAACACTTATGTACAAGACCTTCAGAATGTTTTTTCTCATCATCAGATGGACCCTAGAAACAGTTGTTTGACCTTTGATCGATATTTATAACCTTGACCTCAGGATAAGGATCATTATATAACTGTATCCATTCTGCCATTCTTTTATGCATTAACATGCATTGTTTGGATGAACAGGAAGGCTAAATGAAGATGGCCACGGACATGGTGAAATATATTTATGTAGTACATAGTATATATAAATGCGCAATATAAGGATCCCCATCCCACTGCCACAAACTGCTGCTACATGTTGGAAACTATTCTGTCAGTCACGAATATAGCTTTGATAAATCATTTCTGTAAAGAAAACCATGCCTTGCAGAGCTTTTATGACAAAATACTAAAGATAAAATAAACAGAATATAATCAACAACAGTGTTCCGTGTGTAAAACTCCAGCAGGGCTAGAAATGGATTCGAACCCTGGACATCGAGGCCCAAGTAGCTCAAAGGTTGGTTAGAGTGGTTAAGGAAAATTTTAAAATTTGTAAATACAACAAAATCAAAAACATTGGATATCATTTCACTGCCACAGGTTTGTTGAGACAAAAAAGGATTGATGTATTTTGAATATTTCTTCTGCTTTGAAAGCCCTTGGGTTTTAATGGCAACCATTAGAATTATGCACTAACCGATGGTTAAAGTTAACAAACAGTTGAGCAACTGGGGCCAGATTGTTATACTATTGCTCCATCTGACTGAGCTACCTGGACAGATAAAGTATTCTTTCCCAGCTTTGCTACAGTAACATTAAAACAAAATTAAGGGGAGGTAACTGTATATGTGAAAACCACAGTACAGTGGGACAATGATCCTTAAGGAAGTTAAAGGGAGGTAACTGTATATATGAAAACTATAGTACAGTGGGACAGGGATCCTTAAGGAAGATAAAGGGAGGTAACTGTATATATGAAAACCACAGAACAGCCGGACAAGGATCATTAAGGAAGTTAAAGAGAGGTAACTGTATATGTGAAAACCACAGTACAGTGAGACAAGGATCCTTAAGGAAGTTAAAGGGAGGTAACTGTATATGTGAAAACCACAGTACAGTAGGAACAAGGATCATTAAGGAAGTTAAAGGAAGGTAACTGTATATGTGAAACTCACAGTACAGTGAGACAAGGATCCTTAAGTAAGTTAAAGGGAGGTAACTGTATATGTGAAAACCACAGTACAGTGGGACAAGGATCCTTAAATAATTTTGGCCAAGATTTTTTCCTATTTTTTGCAAAACCTGTTAAACACTTTGATAAATGCTGAATCATCCATAAACGAGAGTTCAGAAGTGTCCTATTACCTAGACAAACTCAGACTTGTTCCCTAATCTAAGTGGTACGATTTAATGACAGCTGCTGGACGCCTCCGACAGTATCACATATAAATGTATCCATACTTACATAACACATGGCTCCCTGGTCAGGTAGATGTCATAACCAGTACAGAGATAGGGTCCAGATTTCTCTGTCCCTTGACCAGTCTTTGACCCAAACTGGCCACTAGTGGTGTTAGAACATTGACCGCTACTTGTTATTTGACCAAAGTCTTTGTCTATATCTGGACCCTGATAATTAGCATCTGTATTGATAACTGGCCATGTGACAGGGACAGAGGATGTTGGCTCCGATCTCTGGTCAGCGTTATCTGGACATGTGACAGGGACAGAGGATGTTGGCTCCGATCTCTGGTCAGCGTTATCTGGACATGTGACAGGGACAGAAGCTGTCGAACTCTGCCCTGGAGCTTTGTAGTACAAGGCTTGGCAACCTTTGGAGAAAATACAACAAAATAAAAATTGACACTATTCTTTTCAAACCTGATACACAGACTCTACAAACTCTTTCACTATAAAGATAATACAATCTTGATCTGATCATCTGGAATTCCGACAACCAAAAATGACTGCATAAGTGCTCTTGTGGATAAATTAGAAACCCATTAAAGTATAGCTCTTTATTTCATGGGTTAATTTTCACATTCCTTCACCTGCTTTTGATAGTAATTTAGAAATTTTGTTTGGACCACAACAATCAAGTAAAATTGATCTCTAGCAACGTATGATATCCTCTATACAGTATAATGAGTTGGTCATCCCAAATATATTGGTCTATTTTCAATGCTGACAGATAACGTTTACGTACCTTCCAAAGGCCACATACCCCCGCCCTGTGACCTTGCCACTAGATCAATGGTTACCATGGTAGCATGCTGCAGTGGATGAGAGCTGTGTCGAAGGTCATGACCTTTGGCAATTACCACATTCTGGTCTGGATCCACTACCACTGCACCTATTGGTAGCTAGAACACACAAAAAAACATGTTTAAATGTGATCTTTAAGAAATATTTGAACATTTACAAGCATATTTTTATCTATATCTTCACACGATCAAGGAGAATGATGGATGTAACTTGAATAAATCTTTAATTTTCACCAGAAGGCGGAATATTTTGACTGACAGTGACAACTATTTTATCGTTTATCTTTTTTTACCCCTATGGAATCAAAGTTTTTTCATTAAGTAAATTCTGTTGTTTATTCAAATATGAAGTTACCTCATTGTTCCAAGACTAATCAGCCAATTGAGGATTAGGTTCAGCTGTAACACTTACAGAGGAATGGGTTCAGCTGTATTGCTTACAGAGGAATGGGTTCAGCTGGATCACTTACAGAGGAATGGGTTCAGCTGTAACACTTACAGAGGAATGGGTTCAGCTGTATCGCTTACAGTAGAATGGGTTCAGCTGTAACACTCACAGAGGAATAAGTTCAGCTGTATTGCTTACAGAGGAATGGGTTCAGATGTATCACTTACAGAGGAATGGGTTCAGCTGTATCACTTACAGAGAATTGGGTTCAGCTGTAACACTTACAGAGGAATGGGTCATGTATCGCTTACAGTAGAATGGGTTCAGCTGTAACACTCACAGAGGAATAAGCTCAGCTGTATTGCTTACAGAGGAATGGGTTCAGCTGTATCGCTTACAGAGGAATGGGTTCAGCTGTATTGCTTACAGAGGAATGGGTTCAGCTGTATCGCTTACAGAGGAATGGGTTCAGCTGTATCACTTACAGAGGAATGGGTTCAGCTGTATTGCTTACAGAGGAATGGGTCCAGCTGGATCACTTACAGAGGAATGGGTTCAGCTGTAACACTTACAGAGGAATGGGTTCAGCTGTATCGCTTACAGTAGAATGGGTTCAGCTGTAACACTCACAGAGGAATAAGTTCAGCTGTATTGCTTACAGAGGAATGGGTTCAGCTGTATCACTTACAGAGGAATGGGTTCAGCTGTATCACTTACAGAGGAATGGGTTCAGATGTATCACTTACAGAGGAATAAGTTCAGCTGTATTGCTTACAGAGGAATGGGTTCAGATGTATCACTTACAGAGGAATGGGTTCAGCTGTATCACTTACAGAGGAATGGGTTTAGCTGTATCACTTACAGAGGAATGGGTTCACCTATATTGCTTACAGAGGAATAGGTTCAGCTGTATCAGTTGCAGAGGAATAGGTTCAGCTGTATCACTTACAGAGGAATGGGTTCAGCTGTAACACTTACAGAGGAATGGGTTCAGCTGTATCACTTACAGAGGAATGGGTTCAGCTGTATCACTTACAGAGGAATGGGTTCAGCTGTATCGCCTACAAAGTGTTTCTGTTGACTTTACATTCTTATTTGTAAATATATACTATAAGTAATGTCATTCTTGCAAGGTTTTTTTCTCTCTCAAATATTCTTTGAATGACTTGTTTCCAAAGGTTTTAATTCTAAAGGAAACGACGATAATTATGGTTCTTGTTTTATTGTATCAGAATAAGTATTTGCAAGATACATATATTTGGATTTTTAAATTATTGAAGTCCTTAATAATTTAATATGAAAATACAAGTGACTTACAGTCCATATTTTTGTTTGCTGATATTGTTATTTCACAGATTGCTTCTAAATGAACATCAATACTAACTCTACAAGAATTTACGCCCGGTATATATAATTTTGTTTGGTAATGTATTAATTATATACGTAGCTTTCCTCAAAGCAATCATCAGCACTCTATTGCAGGTTGTGGTTTGTTTGTTTAATATTTTTTATTATATAAACATTTAACCTCAACAGTAGTTCCTTACAAATTCAGTTTATTTCTTCTGGTCATTATAACTTCTAACTAAAGGGGAGTAACTCTAGATTAGAACAAATTTGCTTCAAAGGAACACAAGATGCTTAATTAAGCTTGTTTCAATTGAAAATCAGTCGTTTACTTTTGCTTTGTACTGCATTCGTTCACATGTGAATTCACATTAAGCATGAATTAAAACTGAATTAAAACACTTTTGAATAATTACGGAAAGGCCAATTTGAGAAATTAAGTCTGCAAATTAACTAACCTACAGTAAGGAAATATCATGAAGAAAGCAGAATGCTTTTAAAAGTGTTTTAAATTGGAAAAGTGAGATCAATATTAAATCCTTTTTTATTGTGGCGGAACTAGACTGGATTTGATCGTCGGCAACCAGGTAGCTCAAGTGATAGAGCATCCGTTTAGAGTTCTGAGGACCCCAGGTTTGAACCCCAGTCTTTGAATCCCGGTCTGGCTATTACATTATAATAATAATTCAGAGCTGTAGAAAAAGCAAGTCCAATTTCTGTAAATTGTGTTTGAGAATCAACTATTAGGTATATGGTGACCATGGGGAACTTATTAGTCGATCAGCAGTGACATTGACCTTATATATTCTTATCCTTATTCCATATTGTACTTTTTGGTGACCTGGATTCTTGATTAAGGTTAAAGGGTACATATACCACGGTATTTGTTATAATGACAAAGAAGAGTCCAAAGTTTTCCTTGACTTGGAGTATTTGCCCTTTAATATGAGAGATGAAGCAGTCAAAATGACAGTTTGTTTTGGCTAAAATTTACTTTCCTTATCAAGTTTTTCATATGCTTTTGCAGCCCATAAATTGGACACTCATTGTGTAAATGTAGGCTTTGCAATGTAAAGAGCACATGTTCGACCCCTGCAGTTTTCTTATTTTCCATTTTTTCCCCTTTATTTATATTCTTAAACATTCAAACTTCAAACAACTACAATTCTGTAAAATGCATGGCAACATGTGAGTTTTATGTACCATTTCTATTGATAAAAGACTGAAACAAATATTTTACAGAAGTGACAATGGTTATAATATAGTTTACATTGTTGGATCACTTTACTTGATGTAGTACACTTCCAGTAAACTTTGGTGAGATAACCCAGTTGTGATATATGATTAAGATAGTTGTCATCAAAGGCGAAAATATAAATACACTTATATTAACAATCAGCGATGAGCATGCAGATTTTAAAACATCTAAATTCTCCAAAATTCCAACACACCTGTTTGGATTCCGCACCTTTTTTCGCCATGGCTATTGCCTCTTCCATGTAATTATAAATTCTGTCAATTTCTTCGGTGTTGAATATCTGCTTTGCCAAAGCCCTCATCACACTGATGACAAAACAGATAGATTTGTGAAAGCAAAACGTTATATAACTAACAAAGCTTTCATAACACTGATCAGTAAAAATTGTTCGTGTAAGTACTGTCCCCAAAGGAACTACATGTATTCTAAGTACTGTCCCTGCTGAAGTGATCATCCATCCAAATACTGTGACCTTTCTTCTATTTTTCTTTACATTTTCAACATAAGTAAGTGAATTTAAAAAAGAAAAATCACCATTTTTTATCAGTAAGAGATAAACAAAAATGGTGAAGAATGTCAGAATATCAAGCAGAACCCAACATTTTGGAGAATGATAAATCTATTACTGTAACAATCGGTTGCATTCACAAGTTTGTAAATCGAAATGGACAAACAATTACAAACCTTTTGTCTTCATAGAAATTGACAGGCCAATACAAAATGGATTCTTCATACTGTTGTCTGGTCAAGGGCATCTCTGCAGGTACTTTGACCTTGAAAGGCTTTGTCAGGGTCGAGTAATCCTGAGATTCAGACAAGGTCACTGTGACCTGATCTATGTCACAACATCCATCACAAAGAATTATCTGTAAGGGTGAATCTGAAAAGAATAATTTTACAAGTATTTGCTAAGTTTTAGAAAAGATCAAAAGGAGCACTTCAGAAGTGAAATCTTTCTCAATGTGAACTTTTTCTCTCTTATTTTAGTGTAATCTAAATCATTAAAATTGGTCAAGGTCACTCAATTGAACAAACTTGCTAGAATTTGAGTAAGCTACATATAGGCTAAATATCATAAGGTCTTATTTTTATTATGAAGTGAAAGTGGAACATGGACACTGTGCCATTGCATTAGGTGATCACTATAGAGTGATCTGAAGACCATTTGTGTGTCGCTTATAAAATTAATCCTGTCATGACCAGCAACTTTTCATTCCATCAGACTTGTTATAATTATCTAACACCAACCTTTCACTGCCCTTATCCTCTTTAAATGGAAAAACTTAGGTAATGGAAATTGCTTTTTAAGGCACCTGAAAAAATATGAAATTTCTGCATGTAATTCTATTACTCATGAATACCAGGTACATATTTAGTTTATTAGGATTCATGAAATCATAAAAGTTTATTAGACAATTTAGAACAAACTCAATGATTGCGCCATATGTTATAACTGCGTGACAAAACAGGTACATGCACCAAGAGGGATCCAGAATTTAGTATTAAGGTATGTACACACGGTCGAGGTAAATTTGAAAAATGTTTTGCAAGTACATGTTCTTGAAGAAGAAGAAACAAGAAATAAATATTTGAACAATGCAACCCTAGCTCCCCCCCCCCCCCTTTGAATAGAGGAAAAGAATGGGACAGTGAAATTACCTACTGGATAAGTTTTGCCGCCTTTTTCTTGTCTGTAACATTGCACACATACACATCAACTGTAAAGATATACATGTGTTTACAAAAAAGGTCATAGTATTTATATATTCATTTCAGGCATAATAATTTAAATACCTCGGTAAATTGAAGCATGAAATGTAACACATCTTTATTTCATATTTGTATCAAATACTTTCTGTTTGTCAATTGAATACCTCTGATAATGAATTTTGATAGACTTGTCCATTTTCGACTTTTTCTAAGGTCAATTTTTATGGTTTCATATTGTAACTGGTGCCCGTAACAGGAGAAAAAGATTGATTCAGTGTACAATATATGACTTTATAAAGTGAAAAAAAACTTGGCTTTAATAACATTGACCTAGCTGGCGCATTTCTCCTCAGTGTGCTCATCATAATTGTGCCTGTCCATACCTAAGGACACTGGTCTATAATAGGTATCATCCAGGACAGCCACAGGGTGTCTGGTGTTCATCCTCGTCTGCTTGCCAAGATTTCCTAAAATTTGAAACAAAGTAAAATTGAATAATGAAATTTTAGACTCATTCCCGAAGTAAAGTATTCTCACTTTTTTAATATTCTTTTATGATTATGAGTGTAGCGGAGGTGGACTGGGTCAATTGTTGGCGACAAGGTAGCTCAATAGGTAGAGCTTCTGTCTAGAGTTCTTAGGGTCCCAGGTTTGAAGTACACTTAGCAAGGGGATACCTGAAACTGGGTTGTAAATAGTTATGTCTTCAGGGGCAAAGACTTAGAAAAAGGAGGGAGGAATGTCGCGGAACTAGACTGGATTGATCGATCACAACCAGGTAGCTAAATTGGTAGAGCGTCTGTCTAGAGTTATGGTAGAAAACTCCCATCGTATAATATAATTCCTTATTCAGACAACTCATTTTCAGGTTACAACACAAATAATGAAACAGATAACAGTCAGACACATGCACTAGCTCCCACAATCATCACTGGGTTATTGACAGGATTTCAGGTAAATATGATTATCTACGAATTGTTCTTGAGTTACTTGTCATATTGGTTTATACATAGATCACAGTATACATATGGTGGTCATTGTTTATCTGTAAACACAGAAATCAGTTGAATCCAACACAGTAACAACATGCACAACATGTATATCAATAATTTCAGAGGGATGGGAAAGCAAACTTAATTAATGCTTAAAACTTCTTTTACTAGTACGTGGTTGTCATGATTTTACCTGGACTACATTAGAATCTAGCATTATATGTGATATAACCCAGCCTCTTTAGATACATACATATATGTTGATGATTGATGCTGACAACTTGATATGTATAACAGCATAATTTAATACTATAAGAATAAAGTAAACGTTCATGATATATACAATGTATATAAACAATTGATCGTCAGGAGCAAACATACAGACCTTCTGAGGCCGGCTTCTCATGACAGACTCAAGAAAAAGGCTTGTAAATACAAACCTGGGTTACAATTTACTGTTACTATCGTAGAGATTTACAAAACTGAAAGTATCTCCAACCCATGGGTACACGTGCTTCTTGTCGGATGTAAACACTGTTAATTTAAAAGACTTAATCTGATTGGTTTAGCAAATTTGTTACAATGACCATCTTCCAATCAAATAACGCCTTATTTATCAGAGCAAAAGATAAGGGAAGTAATCGTGTGATGACTAAAAGTCTTGGGAGAGTCTATAAGCCCGTGATCTCGTCGGGCCCGTGAACTCGGCTACACAATATATGATGACGTCATCTACTTTCATTTTGATCGAGCACACGTGTGTAGCTGCGACATTCCTTTTGATCGATCACACATTTGTAGCCGGGAAATTCTAATGATAATAATAATAATGACTTAATAATGAATTTCACATAATGGATGTAATCAACAACATCACCAGGTAATAATATACATGTAGATACAGATACAGATACGGATGGCAGAATCAGTTGAGGGGTTCAATGTCACATTGAAAGGAGTGGATCATACAGAAGGATGGGTTACAACTCAACAACAGCTTGACAATGTACTTGAAGCACATCGGCTGCAGAGCGGTACACAGTTTGTATCATGGTTAGTGTCTGTCATGACTTGTAAATTTACGTTTGGCCATTTAGATAGCCATGGCACATAACGATCCATAACAATGCACGGTCTAACTTTTACATCATAGCTTCATTAAGATTTAAAAGGAAATTTAAAACATCCATTTGTGACTTGAGTGGATGCTCTAGATCATTGACACATCCTCTGAATATAGATGGAAAAAAGATCATCGATCTGTACTCTTGACACTGTATATTCGTGTCGAGTAGTATATATGTATATAAGTAAGAAATAACTTAAATCATTTACACAATGTTGATTTCCTAAAGGTATTTTCATATCTCAAAGCTTTAAAAGTTGATTTGTTATGAGTGAAAATATTTATATAAAATATTTATAGGCATGATGACAAAGCAAGGAAGCCAGAAGCTGTTGGTCGCCTGCTGTGGACCCACAAAGATTTATCCATTACTGGTCCTGCATTTGCCTTAGGAAGGCATGTTATCAGACAGTGCCAGTATGGAAAAGGGCATAAAAGGGCCAAGACACAGAAACAACAGGTAATATAAAAAGGGTTTTCTATAGATCTATTAATATTAAAAAGAAAAGAATGTATGTGTCAGCAAAGGCCTCTGTCACAAGTAGGAGGCCTGCTAGGTCAACACCACCAGATAGGTCTATACTGTTATAATAGCAAATATGAGAGGCCAGTGTAGTGGATCCAACACTATAATAGCTCAGATAAGAGGCCTGTGAGGTGGGTGCAACACTATAATTGCAGAGATAGGAGGCCTGTGGGCCTGTGAGGTGGGCGCAACACTATAATAGCTAAGACAGGGGCCCGTGAGGTGGGCGCAACACTATGATAGCTAAGATAGGAGGCCCGTGAGGTTAGCGCAACACTATAATAGCTAAGACAGGAGGCCTATGATATAGGGGAAACACTTTAATAGCTTAGATAGGAGGCCCGTGAGGTGGGCGCAACACTATAATAGCTAAGATAGGAGGCCTATGATATAGGGGAAACACTATAATAGCTAAGATAGGAGGCCCGTGAGGTGGGCGCAACACTATGATAGCAAGGATAGGAGGCCCGTGAGGTGGGCGCAACACTATAATAGCTTAGATAGGAGGCCCGTGAGGTGGGCGAAACACTATGATAGCTAAGATAGGAGGCCCGTGAGGTGAGCGCAACACTATAATAGCTAAGATAGGAGGCCCGTGAGGTGGACGCAACACTATAATAGCTAAGATAGGAGGCCCATGAGGTGGGCGCAACACTATAATAGCTAAGATAGGAGGCCCGTGAGGTGGGCGCAACACTATAATAGCTAAGATAGGAGGCCCGTGAGGTGGGCGCAACACTATAATAGCTAAGATAGGAGGCCCGTGAGGTGGGCGCAACACTATAATAGCTAAGATAGGAGGCCCGTGAGGTGGGCGCAACACTATAATAGCTAAGATAGGAGGCCCGTGAGGTGGGCGCAACACTATAATAGCTAAGATAGGAGGCCCGTGAGGTGGGCGCAACACTATAATAGCTAAGATAGGAGGCCCGTGAGGTGGGCGCAACACTATAATAGCTAAGATAGGAGGCCCGTGAGGTGGGCGCAACACTATAATAGCTAAGATAGGAGGCCCGTGAGGTGGGCGCAACACTATAATAGCTAAGATAGGAGGCCCGTGAGGTGGGCGCAACACTATAATAGCTAAGATAGGAGGCCCGTGAGGTGGGCGCAACACTATAATAGCTAAGATAGGAGGCCCGTGAGGTGGGCGCAACACTATAATAGCTAAGATAGGAGGCCCGTGAGGTGGGCGCAACACTATAATAGCTAAGATAGGAGGCCCGTGAGGTGGGCGCAACACTATAATAGCTAAGATAGGAGGCCCGTGAGGTGGGCGCAACACTATAATAGCTAAGATAGGAGGCCCGTGAGGTGGGCGCAACACTATAATAGCTAAGATAGGAGGCCCGTGAGGTGGGCGCAACACTATAATAGCTAAGATAGGAGGCCCGTGAGGTGGGCGCAACACTATAATAGCTAAGATAGGAGGCCCGTGAGGTGGGCGCAACACTATAATAGCTAAGATAGGAGGCCCGTGAGGTGGGCGCAACACTATAATAGCTAAGATAGGAGGCCCGTGAGGTGGGCGCAACACTATAATAGCTAAGATAGGAGGCCTATGATATAGGGGAAACACTATAATAGCTAAGATAGGAGGCCCGTGAGGTGGGCGCAACTCTATAATAGCTAAGATAGGAGGCCCGTGAGGTGGGCGCAACACTATGATAGCAAGGATAGGAGGCCCGCGAGGTGGGCGCAACACTATAATAGCTTAGATAGGAGGCCCGTGAGGTGGGCGCAACACTATCATTGCTAAGATAGAAGGCCAGTGAGGTGGGCGCAACACTATAATAGCTTAGATAGGAGGCCAGTGAGGTGGGCGCAACACTATGATAGCTAAGATAGAAGGCCCGTGAGGTGAGCGCAGCACTATAATAGCTAAGATAGGAGGCCCGTGAGGTGGGCGCAACACTATGATAGCTAAGATAGGAGGCCCGTGAGGTGAGTGCAACACTATAATAGCTAAGATAGGAGGCCCGTGAGGTGAGTGCAACACTATAATAGCTAAGATAGGAGGCCTATCAACCTTATTATAGTGCTCTAAAACTATTTTCTTTGTACAAGTGAATTGATTGAAATCATATTTTTTGTAGGTTCCTAATTTGCATGACTATGCACAGTCTTCAAGACACTATTTGCAGCGAAGCAAAAAGGTAGGATGCAGTGCTAAGATCATTATCCGCTATATAACTGTATATACGGAATATGATGCTTCTGGAATTTGGGAAAAAGATAGAAGACGCACCAACCTCATGGAGGACTTAAAGAAGCAACTAGCAACTGATGCTAGCTACAAAGGTGTTTCAAGGATTTATATATCACTCCCTATGCACAGTGCACATACCAATCAATTACATACTACACAGTCAAAGGCATTTTAATAAGCATATTAAACCTGATAGCAAATGGCATGAAGATTTGCTTTGAGTGGCACATTCAAGATGGCGCACACTTTCTTGTTCAAATATGACGTTATTTGAATCTGTTACATGTATGTTTAAATACTATACTGATATCTTTAAAACAAAATCAGTACCAGACACTCATGAAAGCTATGAATATTCTGTTATACTTTATATCCAATGGAAAGTCATTTAAAATCTATATGTTGGTGTTCTAAAAAGGTAAATATCTATAAAACAAATAAAACAACTGATTTTTAAATTTCAGAACCACTTGACATGTATTGCAGGAAGTGTTGTTTAACTGAGACTTCAGAATGTCACTGGGTGAGGCAAATATAAATTAAAAACTATTTTTTACATTAATGAAGGAGCAAAGGAATTGGTATCAAACGAACATGTAACAGGAAAGGAAATATGCTAACTTGGGTCCTCCAAACTAGACTAAATTAAGCATGGATTATGTAAGTGATTGGTCCACTGTACCCTCACATCATCATAACAAAAACATAACAATTAAATCTAGATCTACATACATATCCACCAATGGAAGGTCAGTCTCTAAGAGCTACTTAGTATATGTTTGTACACAAATCCTTTTAAAAAGTGTCATACTGATATCAGTCCCTAGGGTCTTATGCAACACAAGTCTGACCACTTCACAACTTTATTCTTTGACATATTTGTTCAAACTTTTATACAAAGATCTGCAAGTATGACAATACCTCTGTATATCTTGTCATCTTACTCAAGAAGTCTTGGAGCAATTTAAGATTCATGATAACTGTTAAGTAGTACTTACAGAAATATGGTATAATAAAATATGTACTATTAACTGTGCTATTACAGATTCAGTGTGACTCTTGTCCAAAGTGGTTTCACTTGAGCTGTCTGGATAATACAGGACACACCAACTTAGCTGAAATACAGGCAAATCCATACCTGTGCAAATTTTGTCTGAAGGAATATGAAGATGAGGTAATATTAACAAATGTGTCTGAATATATGCTTTCTAGAGTATAAACTTTTGTGACAGAATATTTGACTTATAACTAAAATTAGTCACCACCTATATTATAGCTTATTGTAATGGTAAATAAAAAAACTGTACAGTGTACTTTTGCTGTATCTATGTGTGCTGATTGGGGGTGCTCCAAATTGAAATAATATTTGCATGTAATTCACATATAAAAAAAATTTCAACTATCAACATGTACAATTTGAACAATAAATGATGCTTAATTCTTAAGCCTTAATCTCTCCAATCTGTTTTGTCTACAGAACTACATGTTGGCATGCAGAAACACTTGTCAACTTCGGGTTAACCCACAAAAGGTAATTTTTTGGGTTTTGTCTTTGCTTTAGATATACTAAAAGTATTGCAATTTTTCTATCAATGCCTTTTTGTATCTTTATAAAGCCTAAAGCTTCTGGTTTCCTCATTTAATGGATAGTGTTTACATAGTAGTTGTCATTTCCATAGAGTTCAACGTTGGATGTACAATATATAGGTCATGATTGTAGTTGATATTGCTGAGGTTAGTGATGGACAGCTGAAATTATATCTTTTGAAGTAAGACTAGTGCCACAATAATAATATAGTGTTTAATTAGCATGTCAGTCATTATGTCATGAACACTTTTCAGAAAAGAAAGAGAAGTTCTTTTGTGTATGAACCAGTGAAAAAGGCAAACCGTAAGTAAAGATAGTTGTGTTGTATCCAAATCACATTTGAAACAATATTATATCAAAAGTATGAACCCACTTGTATAATATAACTCCCGATTGTAAAAGCTTGAAGCAGTTTTTATTGGTGTATAAGTTGCTATAATTCATAACCAGTCATACATGCATTAAGAATTGAACAGGCAATCTAAAAGACAAAACAATGTTATCCTTGTATATGACCAATATTCATTGATTGTCAGAACGATGATACCTGTACATGTATGTCAGAAATGTTTCTCAAATATAATTGTTTGGTCTTCTACTTGTACACAAATACGGATTGCCCGCAATACTTGGCACTATATTTCTTGTTTCAGTGGACAACATCAAGAAATCAATGGAAGGAGAAAAGGTAAAAGCAGCTTGTTGAACCTTTAAAAAAAAGTGACTTTTTAATATGTAATAAAGACTGTTATTCAGACAAAATAAAGCATCTTTAATTAATCTGTGTTTAGAAACTATTTAAAGTTGGACTTAAGTAGTGCACATTTTCTTAATTAGATTTTAATCCTCAAAACAGCTTTCCAAAGCAAGACCAAACATTTCAAAAAGTATTTTGCATAATACCTGGGAGGTGATGTTGTTTGACAGCCCTTCACGGTATTCCAGTAAATGTAAATGTAAATACCTGTACATTTGTCTTCTCAAGTCTTATTTAAATAGATTTGTAAAACTACATAAGTAAACATTATCATTTACAATAAACTGTTTACATATACTGTTATCCATGACACCCTAACATCTTGGTAGGGGATATTCAGTGTAAATATCTAAATTAATTTTATACATAGGTTACAGTTTATATAAATTGATATCTGCAGGATTTTCATGGTATTTGTACAATTTAAAAGCAAATTTATATAATCATGATATATATAGATTGCCTGTGACAAATGTAGATTTTGATTTCACATCGAATGCCTTAGCTTGAAGTACCAGTATGCAGTTCCTAAACACACGTCAAAGGATGAATTCATATGTAAAATATGTATCAATCACAAACTAATTAATGAACCATGCAAAAGAAAAGAGATATAGTGCATGTTTTATATATTTGATAAAATTCAAGTATGTTTGATCATTTTGATGTACATGTATGATATTTATCAGTTATTTATTAAAAATAAGCTCATATTTATATATATGGATGGGCAACCTGCATCCGTTGGAAGTTAACTGTAAACCCTTAATTAAGTTGTACATATCAAGCCTGTTCTAGTAGTATTATACATGGAACCTTTACTTTACCATTATCATTTCTTTGTTAGTCTGCACCACCACCATTGCTCCAAACTAATAAACGCCGCAGGATTTGTAGAACCGAGAACAACGACTTTCTCGAAGAAAAGGTACCTGTCTTTATAAAGGTTGTATATCAAAATTGTGTCAACATACAAAACAAAATCTTTTCTTTTAATTGTTACAGCCAATATGCATTGAACCATTCATTACTTATATATTTAATCCAAACTATATAGTGTTACATGTATGCATGATTACTGTTATGTACTTGTAACTGTACCAATATTTAAGAGCAAAAGATGTACATTTATTGCTTCTATTTATGGTACAGCCTTTACAGACAGACCGCAGCAAAGAAGAAAGCATAATGCCACCCTTAGAGTTTCCAAAGGTAAAAACATTGTTTAGTGTTTTTTGGTTTTTTCATGCAAATTTTACATAATCAGTAATTCATTGCAATTTCAGTTACTTTAAACTTTGGAAAGAGAACAGCCGTAAGCAGATAAACCTGTTTTAATGGCCTCTGCACATTTTATGTCCTATTCTGAAATGATAAGGCATATAATGTTCCCATCAGTATGTAAGTCACCACCATTCTTGATTGCTGGTTCCCTCAGTACTGGAAATGCATGGTTGGTATTACTGAAATGTGATCAAAAGTTAAAATGTTTTAGTTATCTATTTAATAGGTATTCTACACACAATTTCTCTCTCTCTCTCATACTATCGTTTTATCATTTTGACTTACCAAGTAAAATATCCTTTCTTACAGTATGTTAGTGATGCAGACCAGAGAGACCAGGAAGGCATGATTAATCTTGCTGACATAAAAAAACATGTAATGTATTAACATAGGTTCCATGTTTGCAATTTCTATAACCTGTTTGTTATAGAGTATGTTAGTGAACTTTATTTAACACCTATTCCAAGAGATACCTAGTTCAGACTGTTTCATTGTCAATTAGGGAACAGTGTAGTGTAACCTTTATCAGCCATCTTTGTTGTACAATTAGCCAGCATTATAAAAGTATTAGCTGGCCAACAGTGCTAAGATTAATCATGATGATTTGCTTACCATATTATCATAGGTTTGCATCAGTTCTCTCTGCATATATTTATATTCTACATTAAAATTCTACATTTACAATTTCATACCAAAACTTCATTCCTGCATAACCTTTTTTTGCACTCAAATTTACAGAGTCAGCAAATTCATAACCGAATGAGGGAAATAGTGAAAACACAGGCTTCCAGGAAAAGGTATTTATATGTCTTCCAAGAGTTGTGGGACACACAATGACTTCAACCTCACTCCCAACCCGCATTGTATCTAATGTTGCATTCATAATAGGTAAAACTTTTCTGGTATGTTCATGTCATAATTGTTCGAAACTATGTTATGATGAGGGTCCATTTCTTTTTAGTCTACTTGTATATTTGTTGAAATACTTACAAATATTTTATGTTTTTTTTTTTTATTATTCAAGCCAAAATAGTAAGTCTTTTAGCATTAATATAGTCATCAACCTAATGTTTACTACCAACACAGTTATATAAGGATATCTAAATGTACCGGATAATATTAAAAAAAAGTAGTTGTTCCAAAATATGTATTTAATTTTTAAAGCATATGGTTCAAAAATTTAAATCATCTTGGTGTGCATACGTCAAATAAAATTACAACATAAACCTATAAAGTATAACAAATTACAATACCAAAATACTCATTTACAGCATTTCTCGAAATTGTAATTTGAACCCAGAATGGCTATCTAGACATTCCCAGTTCATAATGAATGGACAGGCAGACGACTGGAAAAACAAGGGATATGGACTTTCTTTTTTCAATCAACCAGTAAGTATCATCAATATCCCACTACATTTTAGTGCAAGTAATTGTCATGTTTTGTATGCATTTTTACCTCAGTATGCTGTGCTTAATAAAGCCATCATTTGATTAATATATTTTATTTACAATTTATAACCCTTAATATGTAATGTATCAAATTTAATATTAACATTATTTGAAATTTGATACAAATTATAAGTGTGACACAATTTTTCTAGCACAGATATACTAGTAGATATATGCGGACTCATACTATTGAACATTTTAGAAACTTTATAAAGCCAATTTATACGAATGATCATCAATTTTACATCTGCTAGTTAAATGGTAGTTATAAAAAGGTAATTAATCTAAAACTGCTTTGACTGCCACTTGTTCCACTCTCTTAATTGGTTGCTGTCACTTATACCAGAGACATATAAAGTCAGTATATACGTCTCTGCTTATACCATGTATTTATTTACCTTAGGTGCAGCATTCTTTGGAACAATGGATTGAAAGGGGGTTTTATGTGGACATTGGAACTTGGTAATAACTGTTGTATTGTAATTACCATTGTATTGTAGAAATAGCCAGCTTATTAAATACATAATATTGGCTGTATTTGGATCTTATTTATTGTTCCAAAGTCTTTGCCATTTAAAACATCTCAAAGTAAGAAAGAAGATCTCAGGCAAATTGTATTGTGTATGGAAAATCTCTGATTTGAAGTTATCTTAAGAGTTGAGGATGGGGCCTGATGTTTTAAGTGCAAGTTCTCATTGCAGTATTTAATTTCTCTCATCATACTTTTGTTGAATATTTTGAATTGAAATGTAGTTAAGGTTGTTAGACAAGATTGAATGAAAGAATAAACTACTATGTGTAGGTATTGTTTTTATTCTACAGTATATTTACGAAATGGGGTTCAATAAAGGGAGCAAGTAAGGAACTTCAAGACCGGATGACACAAAGCCCTTAGTATGTATCTTAACAGAACATTTGTAATGGACCATCTCTGTATCTGTTCCAAATATAACTGGTAAATAGGAACTGCATGCATTTATAACAGTATGAATGCCGTCACAGGCTAGAATTTGTTGCATAATGATAATTTGACTTAGGCAGTTACTTTTTTAACAAATTGATAACTTTTAACAAACATATATATAATCTTATAAAAAATCATAATTGATGTATCAAGGTTACCATTTAAATGACTTCACTGACAACCGTACCATCTAATAAATTCACACATAACCAAACATTCTGTGCTTCCTTTATTGGTATATATATGCAGTTCAAAATGCAAAGAGTTGCCCTGCAGTCATGTGGGGTGTTCATAATTAAATCCTGGTATGTACGTGACATTATGTAAGATATCATACTATAGTGTTTGTATCTTTCATAGTCAATTTACTTTCAGTGAAGCTGACAGTTACATTAAAACTGTACTTGGAAAAGAATGCCTGGCAGTGACAGTTGAAATGGTGAAGAAGATGCCATATTTGAATGCAGACGAGGATTGCAGTCAAACATCTGCCACCACAATGAGGAAAGTTTTCCAAAAAAAAATTGGAAAGAAGTAATTCAATTTATTTTCTCCTAGTCTTTTTACATCTACCCATCCACCATATTGTTCACTTTGATGGTTTTGATTTGGTTATCTATTCTTATGTTAGATTTTGAACGTGTTGGGCACCATAGCACATGGTTTTACATATTTCTCCTACAGCAGCTAGCGCCTGGTTGAAAATAATTCCCTTTTGGCTAGGGAAAACATGCGCAGCCTATCCTTATACATGTGTTTTAAATATCAACTTGATATTAACACTGGGAGTGCCCCACTTCTAGACCCCTAACCAGAACTCTGCCTAATGGAAATGCAGGGAGCCTTAATTAGCAGCCCCTTTTGACCCCTCACCTCCCATTCATGTAATGTATTTTAATGCATTTTGTTGTAGAATCATAGCTTTAACTTATATTGTTCAACTTTAACTTTAACTGTTACATGAGGGTACCCAAAATTGAACACGTTTTAGATATGTGACAGCCTTTTTTATTTTGCAGTATAGATGAATGGTATCTATCTTTATGTCATAGTGCTCCAAAAGCTAAATAGGAAACATTTATATATAATCATAAAAAAGTGTTCCAATTTTGGTATTGTCACATTTAAGAGATAGTCTTATTTTAGCACTTTTCGCACTTTAATTATTGCACCAATTTAAGAATGTGTCAATTGGAATTCTTATATATTGTTTCTATTGCAAATTTTGGTGGTGCACCAAATTATCAATGCGCTAATTTATTAACTCACTGGGTCTGAAGGACCAAGGTGAGCTTATGCCATACCATGAATTTAACTAATTTTGACTGGAAGCATTCCTAGGTGGTAGGGATTCAATATTGTACAAATGGTGGTGACCCCCCGGGGGGCTGAGGGGCGGGCCCAAAAGCAGGCAATTTGGCTATATTGCCTTAAGCTACTTCTTCTCTGGAACTAAGAGATGGATATCAACCATATTTGACTGGAAGCATCCCTAGGTGGTGGAGATTCAAAATTGTACAAATTTTGGGGCTGACCCCCTGGGCTAAGGGGTGAGGCCAAAATAAGTTTATCACTTGGAAATGGTTGAGATCCCCACTGTATGAAGAGAAGAATGCACAGTTGCTTCCAGGTTGGCCCTAGGGTCTGGCCCCACCCTTGGAGACATAGTCCCTGTGTCATAACTTTGAAACGGTTGAGATCCCCTCCCCAAAACTATATATACAAATGCTGGGCATAAAGAGATGAATGCAGTCATGATAATAGAATAGACCCTGCGGTCTGACTGAACCCCTAGGGACCTAGTTTCTTAGTCACAGCTTGAAAGCAGTTGAGATCCCCACCCTATAACCATATAAACAATTGCTAAGTATAAAGAAATGAATGCACATATGCTTCCAGGATGGCCTTGGGGTCTGCCCCACCCTTGGAGACTTATAACCCTTTGGTTATAACTTTGAAATGGTTAAGATCCCCACCCCAAAACTATAAATACAAATGCAGTCATGATATTATAATTGATCCTGGATTGGCCTTGGGGTCTGGCATATTCCTTTGGATCTCAATTGGAGAATATTTTGTCATGATTGCTTAGATATCCAGGTGAGCGATACAGGACCTCTTGGCCTCTTGTTAAAGTTTGATACTATACTAAAATTTGAGTGCGTGAAAATATATACGCCAATGGTATAGGTTTAACTGTGTGGGTATGAGCTTGAGCTCCATATACATGTTTTAGTTATTGCTAGGATTATTACATGTTTTGAGGTTACTCGTAGTGAACATGTATATTAACATATTGTAAAGCACATACATATTAAAAAGCTGAGGTGGTCTTCAGTGAGTCAACACTTGAGAATGGGCAGAGCCTTGGAAATTGTACAGTAACGGGAGTTACAATTGGGTATCTGCTTACAACAATTTAACCATTTCACCACTTCATATGCATCATAACTTTTGTTTTTCAATTTACTGTATAGTCTATATTGTTCATGATTAAAAAAAGGTTTGATAAGGCTGCTTTTGCTGACCTGATGAATTTAGATTGTTGAATTTTTACATCTGATTCACATAGCAGGTTTCAAAAAGTAATGCTCATGACTTTATTGTTCTTTTGTGGTTTACCTATACTTCAGTACATAATGTACTCGTGTAAAATCAGAAGCGGTCGGCTTGTGCCCCCAGGTTCCTTGTTAAGGTAATATGAAGAATGAAGTTAAGTTTAACATTTGTTTAAAGCTCAGCTGGTACAGTAAAATCCGTCAAACGGCAACCTTCTGTTCATTGCAATTTTGGCGGTATATTGAGGTTGTCAGTATAACAAGGGAATCACCGCAAATCACCATAGTAACATGTCCATGCACTTGTGACAACACTAGTTAAACTCACTTTCAAGCAATAACCTGGGCGGAGGCAATAGATAACGAGGGGTTCACATGGTGTTTTAGCACTATTGTTTTTCAAACGAGATGGCTGTATGCAAGTTTGGCGGTTTAACAGAGATATTTCAGAGGGAAAAAATCTGTTTCTCTCACAATGTTGGCAAGGGTGGTGGTTTAACGGGTGGTGATAGAACGAGATTTTATATTGATTATTTGTTTACTTGATGAAGCAGCAGTCCATGTCACCCCAGGTATTATAAAGAAGTAATAGGTATATAACAGGTTTTTTATTCAATATATTGAACTATTCACTTTTATTGTTTTGAAATAATAAAGCTGACCTACTATTGTGGTAATATTTCATTTTGTGTTGGGTATAAATATGTACATATATGTTGTAACAAATGGTACGAGAGTCTTTTTTCATGCTGCTAATTTATTGAGTAGTGTGTATTGAATAAGTGTGAAAGTTAAATATGAAGTGTAATTCATTTAAAAATGAAAACTAGAGTTAATGATATCAACTGTAATGTTAAATGTCTAATGTATGGAATGTATCTTATCTGCTATTGGTAATATGGGGCATATACATATATATATTTTGTCATTTGAAGTTTGTTCTCGCTATATCTAGAGAAATAATGGATGGACCTTTCTGAAATTTCATATGTACAGACAGTACCTACTGTTTAGTGCTATATCTTTACCTCATATCAAATACTTTGAACAAATCCAGATGAGCGATACAGGCCCTCTGGGTCTCTTGTTTGTTTGAAAAACAAAAAGTAAAATAGATTAAGACTAAATTAATGATGAAATACATTTGGAAAGATGTACATTGTACCAACAAGTTTTGTACAAAATCATTCTTTTCTTTTTTTTCTTTGCAATTTAACTAATAAAATCATAAAAATTGATTTGTATATGTATCATGTACTGGTTGGCTACATGCCAAAAAATTGCATATAATGTCTACATGTGTATATTGATCTCTTCTGCCATTATTTTATGCATTCAGAAACTGCCAAATTCATGTACTTTGAACATGTTGAATAAGTCACGAGCACTTTAACATTGCTTATTTTGAGATTTCATTTATATTATTTTAATTATATAAAGATCGATGTAAAAAGCAGAAATGGAAATTAAATAATGTAAGTCTTACCCTGCAAATTTTATTAGAGTGGGAGAAATATATAATCTCATTATAATAAACATTTCAATACCACATCAAAAATGAAGTCACTTTTTTATTTCCACACTTTTCAAACAATTGTCATTCCTGAAAGCTGAGTGTAGAGGAGGAGATATATTGTCAAACTTCTGGGTAACTGTGTGCTCCCACCTCACGGGCCTCCTATCTTAGCTATTATAGTGTTGCGCCCACCTCACGGGCCTCCTATCTTAGCTATTATAGAGTTGCGCCCACCTCACGGGCCTCCTATCTCAGCTATTATAGTGTTGCGCCCACCTCACGGGCCTCCAATCTTAGCTATTATAGTGTTGCGCCCACCTCACAGGGCTCCTATCTTAGCTATTATAGTGTTGCGCCCACCTCACAGGGCTCCTATCTTAGCTATTATAGTGTTGCGCCCACCTCACGGCCTCCAATCTTAGCTATTATAGTGTTGCGCCCACCTCACAGGGCTCCTATCTTAGCTATTATAGTGTTTCACCCACCTCAGAGGCCTCCTATCTTAGCTATTATAGTGTTGCGCCCACCTCACAGGGCTCCTATCTTAGCTATTATAGTGTTGCACCCACCTCAGAGGCCTCCTATCTTACCTATTATAGTGTTGCGCCCACCTCACGGGCCTCCTATCTTACCTATTATAGTGTTGCGCCCACCTCACGGTCCTCCTATCTTAGCTATTATAGTGTTTCCCCTATATCGCCTCCTATCTTACCTATTATAGTGTTGCGCCCACCTCGCGGGCCTCCTATCTTAGCTATTATAGTGTTGCGCCCACCTGTTGCACCCACCTCAGAGGCCTCCTATCTTCCCTATTATAGTGTTGCGCCCACCTCACGGGCCCCCTATCTTAGCTATTATAGTGTTGCGCCCACCTCACGGTCCTCCTATCTTAGCTATTATAGAGTTGCGCCCACCTCACGGTCCTCCTATCTTAGCTATTATAGAGTTGCGCCCAACTCACGGGCCTCCTATCTTAGCTATTATAGTGTTGCCCCCACCTCACAGGCCTCCTATCTTAGCTATTATAGAGTTGCGCCCACCTCACGGTCCTCCTATCTTAGCTATTATAGTGTTTCCCCTACATCATAGGCCTCCTATCTTAGCTATTATAGTGCTGCGCTCACCTCACAGGCCTTCTATCCTAGCTATCATAGTGTTGCGCCCACCTCACGGTCCTCCTATCTAAGCTATTATAGTGTTGCGCCCACCTCCCTGGCCTCCTATCTTAGCTATTATAGTGTTGCGCCCAAATCACAGGCCTCCTATCTTAGCTATTATAGAGTTGCGCCCACCTCACGGTCCTCCTATCTTAGCTATTATAGTGTTGCGCCCACCTCACAGGGCTCCTATCTTAGCTATTATAGTGTTGCCCCCACCTCACAGGGCTCCTATCTTAGCTATTAAAGTGTTGCACCCACCTCAGAGGCCTCCTATCTTACCTATTATAGAGTTGCGCACACATCACGGGCCTCCTATCTTAGCTATTATAGTGTTGCACCTATATCATAGGCCTTTTATCTTAGCTATTATAGTGTTTCACCTATATCATAGGCCTCCTATCTTAGCTATTACAGTGTTGCGCCAACCTCCCGGGCTTCCTATCTTAGCTATTATAGAGTTGCGCCCACCTCACGGTCCTCCTATCTTAGCTATTATAGTGTTTCCCCTATATCATAGGCCTTTTATCTTAGCTATTATAGTGTTTCCCCTATATCATAGGCCTCCTATCTTAGCTATTATAGTGCTGCGCTCACCTCACGGGCCTTCTATCCTAGCTATCATAGTGTTGCGCCCACCTCACGGGCCTCCTATCTAAGCTATTATAGTGTTGCGCCCACCTCACGGGCCTCCTATCTTAGCTATTATAGTGTTGCGCCCACCTCACGGGCCTCCTATCTTAGCTATTATAGTGTTGCGCCCACCTCACGGGCCTCCTATCTTAGCTATTATAGTGTTGCGCCCACCTCACGGGCCTCCTATCTTAGCTATTATAGTGTTGCGCCCACCTCACGGGCCTCCTATCTTAGCTATTATAGTGTTGCGCCCACCTCACGGGCCTCCTATCTTAGCTATTATAGTGTTGCGCCCACCTCACGGGCCTCCTATCTTAGCTATTATAGTGTTGCGCCCACCTCACGGGCCTCCTATCTTAGCTATTATAGTGTTGCGCCCACCTCACGGGCCTCCTATCTTAGCTATTATAGTGTTGCGCCCACCTCACGGGCCTCCTATCTTAGCTATTATAGTGTTGCGCCCACCTCACGGGCCTCCTATCTTAGCTATTATAGTGTTGCGCCCACCTCACGGGCCTCCTATCTTAGCTATTATAGTGTTGCGCCCACCTCACGGGCCTCCTATCTTAGCTATTATAGTGTTGCGCCCACCTCACGGGCCTCCTATCTTAGCTATTATAGTGTTGCGCCCACCTCACGGGCCTCCTATCTTAGCTATTATAGTGTTGCGCCCACCTCACGGGCCTCCTATCTTAGCTATTATAGTGTTGCGCCCACCTCACGGGCCTCCTATCTTAGCTATTATAGTGTTGCGCCCACCTCACGGGCCTCCTATCTTAGCTATTATAGTGTTGCGCCCACCTCACGGGCCTCCTATCTTAGCTATTATAGTGTTGCGCCCACCTCACGGGCCTCCTATCTTAGCTATTATAGTGTTGCGCCCACCTCACGGGCCTCCTATCTTAGCTATTATAGTGTTGCGCCCACCTCACGGGCCTCCTATCTTAGCTATTATAGTGTTGCGCCCACCTCACGGGCCTCCTATCTTAGCTATTATAGTGTTGCGCCCACCTCACGGGCCTCCTATCTTAGCTATTATAGTGTTGCGCCCACCTCACGGGCCTCCTATCTTAGCTATTATAGTGTTGCGCCCACCTCACGGGCCTCCTATCTTAGCTATTATAGTGTTGCGCCCACCTCACGGGCCTCCTATCTTAGCTATTATAGTGTTGCGCCCACCTCACGGGCCTCCTATCTTAGCTATTATAGTGTTGCGCCCACCTCACGGGCCTCCTATCTTAGCTATTATAGTGTTGCGCCCACCTCACGGGCCTCCTATCTTAGCTATTATAGTGTTGCGCCCACCTCACGGGCCTCCTATCTTAGCTATTATAGTGTTGCGCCCACCTCACGGGCCTCCTATCTTAGCTATTATAGTGTTGCGCCCACCTCACGGGCCTCCTATCTTAGCTATTATAGTGTTGCGCCCACCTCACGGGCCTCCTATCTTAGCTATTATAGTGTTGCGCCCACCTCACGGGCCTCCTATCTTAGCTATTATAGTGTTGCGCCCACCTCACGGGCCTCCTATCTTAGCTATTATAGTGTTGCGCCCACCTCACGGGCCTCCTATCTTAGCTATTATAGTGTTGCGCCCACCTCACGGGCCTCCTATCTTAGCTATTATAGTGTTGCGCCCACCTCACGGGCCTCCTATCTTAGCTATTATAGTGTTGCGCCCACCTCACGGGCCTCCTATCTTAGCTATTATAGTGTTGCGCCCACCTCACGGGCCTCCTATCTTAGCTATTATAGTGTTGCGCCCACCTCACGGGCCTCCTATCTTAGCTATTATAGTGTTGCGCCCACCTCACGGGCCTCCTATCTTAGCTATTATAGTGTTGCGCCCACCTCACGGGCCTCCTATCTTAGCTATTATAGTGTTGCGCCCACCTCACGGGCCTCCTATCTTAGCTATTATAGTGTTGCGCCCACCTCACGGGCCTCCTATCTTAGCTATTATAGTGTTGCGCCCACCTCACGGGCCTCCTATCTTAGCTATTATAGTGTTGCGCCCACCTCACGGGCCTCCTATCTTAGCTATTATAGTGTTGCGCCCACCTCACGGGCCTCCTATCTTAGCTATTATAGTGTTGCGCCCACCTCACGGGCCTCCTATCTTAGCTATTATAGTGTTGCGCCCACCTCACGGGCCTCCTATCTTAGCTATTATAGTGTTGCGCCCACCTCACGGGCCTCCTATCTTAGCTATTATAGTGTTGCGCCCACCTCACGGGCCTCCTATCTTAGCTATTATAGTGTTGCGCCCACCTCACGGGCCTCCTATCTTAGCTATTATAGAGTTGCGCCCACCTCACGGGCCTCCCATCTTAGCTATTATAGTGTTGCGCCCACCTCACGGGCCTTTTATCTCTGCTATTATAGTGTTGCCCCTATCTCAATGGCCTCCTATCTTAGCTATTTTAGTGTTGCGCCCACCTCACGGGCATCCTTTTTTGCTATAATAATGTTGCACCAACGTCAAGGGCCTCTTTAATCTTTTCTATTATAATGTTACACCCACTACACGGGCCTCTCATATTTGCTATTATAATGTTGTGCCCACTTTATTTGCCATTATAGAGTTATACCCACCTCACAAGCCTCCTATCTTTACTATTTTATAATGTTACGCCCACTTCCCTAAATGCTGCCCGTTATACCTTAAAACGAAAGTAAACGTAGATGACGTCATCATATATTGTGTAGCCGAGTTCACGGGCCCGACGAGATCACGGGCTTATAGCTATAGACTCTCCCAAAAGTCTTCCTTCAAGGCAAATGAGTAGGTATTTACACGACTTTCGTAAATAAGTTTGTACAGTCGGGGTTATAAGTCAACAACGTCAACACATACACTGTATGTCATTAGTTACAAGTGACACTGTTAATACATTGTAAATATTGTTGACTCTTCAAAATTCTTCCCATGTTAGGTCCAACATTTGGGCAAAAAAGTGAGTAGTCTGGTGAACATGGCCGGGTGGGCGACACTACACTGATTTCTTTCGCTGTATCTTTCTTTGTAATATACATCGATGTAAGCTTTTTAGCTTTGGAGATGTCTTGATTATATTTCGTTCACTTATTGATAGTGTTCGTGCGGTTGCGCATAAAATGATAAAAGTCCATTATTATCTGGTAGACATACATCTATCCGTCAAAATATCTAAAAGGCTGGTGTAAGGGCCAGAGCAAACTCGAGCTTTACAGTTATATGTACCTACCAGCAATCATTTAATAACGTCTAAAATGCTTTCTCTTTATACTAACTAATCTTTGTGAAATTATTCTTATCACATATAAATAGTTGCTAACCCCTGTGGCTCATGTGAGTTGGTTCATTGAGTGGCTGGATGATGTCCTGCCTGCAGTAAAGTCATATTTATATGTTTTTAAGATATTCAGGGCTGACATTCAGCCAAAATTCCAATACTCATGCATGTTGTACAATGGACTGGGTTGATTTTTGTAATCAGGTAGCTAAATTGGTTAGAGCGTCTGTTTGAAAGTTTAGAGGAGCAGTGTTCAAATCCTAGTCTGACCATGCATTTATCTTCTCCTGTTATAAATAGGGTGCCTGAGACCACAGACATTCCTTGCTTCAAGCATTGTGTGAATGCTTGGCAAAGGAATACCCGAATCTGGGTTGTAAATAAGTGTTGTCTTTAGGGATGAGGACTACAAAAAGGGGAGAGAAATTTAGTAAACTTGACTGGGTTGCAATTGATTGGTAATTAAAGCACCTCTATAGATCTAGAGTCTAGAGGTCTCGGGTTCAATGCAGGTCCCGCTTAATAAGTCGTCACCATTTTTAGCTTCACCAGTGGCCCGAATAACCAAGAGGCCCAAGCTGATGATATTTGGCCAGTAGCATGCTGGGATGAAGGGCTACCAAGTTTGTTCAAATGAATGACCTTGACCCACTTTCAAGGTCAAAGGGGTCAAATATGCTAAGATCTTCAAACGACTTCTTCTCAATAACCAAAAGGCCCATGGTACTGATAGTATGCCTGTAGCATATTGCTAGGATGAAGGGCTACCAAGTTTGTTCAAATGAATGACCTTGATCCACATTCAAGGTCACATGGGTCAAATGTCTTAATATCTTCAAACGACTTCTTCTAAATAACCAAAAGGCCAAGGGTGATGATATTTGGCCAGTAGCATGATGGGATAAAGGACTACCAAGTTTGTTCAAATTAATGACCTTGACCCACTATCAAGGTCACAGGGGTCAAATGTCGTTAAATCTTCAAACAATTTTTCTCAATAACCAAAAGGCCCAGGGTACTTAAATTCGGCCTGTAGCATGCTGGGATAAAGGACTACCAAGTTTGTTAAAATGAATGACCTTGACCCACTTGCAAGGTCACAGGGTTCAAATGTCTTAAAATTTTCAAAACACTTCTCAATAACCAAAAGGCACAGGGTACTGATATTGGGCCTGCATGTAGCATGCTGGGATGAAGGACTACCAAGTTTGTTCAAATGAATGACCTTGACCCACTTTAAACCTAATATCCTTGTTCGATATTCAAGGTCACAGGTGTCATATGTTTAAATCTTTTAATAGGTTCTTATGAATCAAACACTGATATTATGCTTGTAGCTGTATTTTAGTCTACTTTTAAGATTACAAGGGTGAGATTAATACCAGGTGAGCGATGCAGGCCCATTGTGCCTCTTGTTCCTCTCCTGTTACACTTATTTTGTCTGTTCGATTGCATTGTATAATTATATTTTTTTGGTTCCATTCAACATCTTTATTTCAAATTGACAAGTTCTACATAATATTGATTTCCTACATAATAATAATTTCCTATTATTAGTAAAACCTTGTTATATTGGCACTGTTTGGACGGTGAAATTTAGCATTGGAAAGGAATAAAGCGAGATATCAAGAGTGAACAAAAAAAAATGATTAAGAAAAATTGGAAACAAGGACCTTGATGTAAGCGAGATTGGAAGTTATTAAAGCAAAGGGCATTGTATTGAGGTGCACATGTATATGATATTTATCTTTACCTTTTTGTTGTTGCAGTATTGTCTTGGTGAGAAGGGATCATCATGGATATTCCATTTCCGAGGCAGTTCGGCAGCAAAAGTGCCCATGCCTTGCTCCTGCAGCAGCACCTTCATGACCAGATGATGTCACAGTCAGAATTTTGTGATGTCACTCTGGTGGTGGATAATGTGGTAGGTCAGATTTTATTGATCAGTCTAAGTGTCAAAATTAAGTGTGTTTATAGATTATCCCACTGTATATATATATATAGGGATGTTAATCTTCTTCTCAACATGGCTGCTGAACAGACATTATGTTTCTATCATCTTTATGATAATTTGTTCATTCATTATACACATCATATGCTACAGAATAAATTGATTTTAAAGACAACATGTCAGTGTAATGTGACTGGTTGGAATACTATGCTGGGTGCCTGTTCATGTGTTATATTGAGCTGGAGTTTGAGGTGGCACTAAAAAGTTTGCATGAGATGCGCTCTACTTCAAGGAGGCAAATACCCCAACATACTGCCTCCAGTACACATACACACATACATTACAGACATGGAGTTGGTCCTTGAATTACCCTAGCCGTTAATAGGACATGAAACCCTATAAAACTAAACCAACTAACTAGTGGTGTTCCTATAATCAAAAGAAGTCGAAAGTCAATAGATAAGGTGAAAAAGTAAGCACTCGATTACAATATCTAACAATCGAAAAATCGAAATCTGCTCAAATGATATTATGCTAAATTTATTTAAAACTGCAATGTATCCAAAGTATTTTTTTGTACTCGTGCTATGAGGTAAAGATAGCGGCGTACTAAACACCACACAATGTATTTACCAAAGTTTTGATATTATAATCAATTAATCGTTCATTACAAGTCTTCCAATAAATGATTATGATGTCTCATCCGATTCTCAACACTACAAATGACAAAAGATCTAGAAGTTACCAGTGTTCCTGCAGGTCAGAAAAGGAATGGATGTGTAATGAACTGCAGCATCATTATAGCTTCATGTTGTGTTGTCTGCAAATTAAAGCAAATTAGGTAACATTCTGAGATTGCTCTTTCAGTATTGTTCAAAGTAATGATTGTTGAACCTTGGTTGTAAAAAGTGTTGTCTTCAGGGGCAAAGACTTATAAAAAGGTAGGTAGAATGTAGCAGAGCTAGACTGGGTTGATCACCAGCGACAAGGTACATGTAGCTCAATAGGTTCATCTGTTAGTAGTCTTAAAATGGTAGACACTATTCACATTTTGTCTATTATAGCGTCCCTACATCAGGGTTCTAGTTTTTCTAATTAATGTTTATCAAACATTTATGTCTGCAGGAGATAAAAGCCCACTGGTGTGTGCTGGTGTCCTGTCCATACTTTCAGTCCCTTTACGACAGCGGCCTTGCAGAAAGATTTTCTGGTATGTATGCAGTGATTATTTTCTGGTACATTTTGGCAATCAGTTTTGTGTTAAGAAATTTCAATTAACTCATATGAGTAAACTATCTGTAAATCTCCTGATAAATATCAGTAAGGTGTGGAGTAATAATACATGGCATATTGTGATAAGTTGCTTGATGTCAAGTTTGTTTAAATAAATAACATTGACCCAATTAAAAATCATACATGTGAAGCGTATTTTCCAACACCACTGGATCACAGGTGAGCAATACAGGCCCACTGGGCCTTTTGTCTATACCATTTACAAATTGTACCTGTATTTTATTTCATTCTTGCCGCAGGGACAGTCGAGCTACACATTGGAAAACCTGGCGCCGTCCGCTCCGCTTTAGAGTTCCTGTATCTTGGTAATGTGAAAATCAGCTACGACAACGTACAGGAACTCCTAGAGGTGGCCGACTATTTCCAGATCATGGAGTTAAAACGAGCATGCCAGGACTACCTCTACTCCGTCAACATCAACACGGACAATTGTGTACGAATCTGTCTCATGTGTAGTCTCTATGACCTTGACCTTTACACAAGGGCATTTGATTTCTTACGAGGGAATCTACCAGAAGTGATGCAAAAGGAAGACATTTTGTCGCTCACACACGATTCTGTGTTGTCCCTTGTGACCGACCTGTCATTATGTTATGTGTCTCAGTCAGACTTTTTTCGGTTTATAGTTCGCTGGGTGCAGTTTGAAGAGGAGGTAAGGTTGACCTACTTTGAAGAGTTGTTTTGTGCTTTGAATCTTCTTGGCATTCCAAAGAAGTACCTTGAGGAAGAGGTAGAGCAACATAAATTTGTTAGCGGCAGTGAAAAATGTAAAGATGAGGTGCTCAGTGTCAAATCAAAATACAAGGCAGGACTTATTGAAGAGGATTCAGGAATGAGAGATGTTGTTATCGTGGCAGGGGGTAGTGGTGATGGACTTTACTTCAACAATCTCTTCCATCTATTCCCTTTCTCGGAAAGTATATCTGTTTGCTCTGTGTATGGGTTTGTTGTGAACGAAGGACGCTGGATAGAGTTAGCTCCCTTACCAGTGAAAATGAGAAAACCAGTGGTCACCTATGATCCCCTGGGCTACCTGTACGTGTTCAACACGGCTCATTCAAACTACGACTCAGTTTTCATTGTGTACAAATATAACATTGAAGAGAAGACATGGACAAGCTTTCGACTCCAAATACCGGACAGTATTACAAATGTGTTCATCCAGAATATTGTGTCGTGTAACAGTCGTCTGTATGCAATTGTATCTGGTAATATGCCTTCAGCACACAAAACCCCACCTGTGGAGGAATGGCAGACAGTCCTCTTAGAAGTCAAGGAAGACACGGAGAGTGTTATCAAGTGCAATCTCTTCCAGGGTAACACCACCAATGCACAGATCACTTCTCTCGGGGTCAATAATCGCCACGTCTGTGTGCTGGTGTGGAAACACGGTGCAAAGGGCAAGAAGAGTCGTCAATATGCAAAATTTGTCATGTACGATGCAGTCACTGAGAAAAAGCTTGACCAATCCAAAGGAGCGTTTTGGGACAGCATACTGATTCCAATAGAAAATGAGCTTGTCACCTGTAGGATGGGTAAGTATACTGCCAAGAAGTATTCCTTCAGTGACAAACGATGGAAGGGGGTCAAGGGACAGATAATGTCACAATTACCCGAGGATCCTACCCGCCAGGATTTCTCTTATCACTCGGACGGCGTCAACTTTTATGTATTTGGCGGAAAGGATGCCTCAACCAAGAAACTCTTGGATACCGCTTTCAGGTTCAATTTTGAGAAAAGGAAGTGGACCAAGCTGGAAAATATGCCACAGGCTGTGATGCAGAGTGCCATTTGCCACGTGAAAATGCCGGCAGACCATGTGCGATGCCACATCAGTTGTCCACATTGTGTGTACCACACACGTAAGAGCCAGGCGGTGTATGACGTTGAATGTTCGTTTGATGAAGGAGATGATGACACAGATTGTGACTATTCATATGATGATGATGAAGAAGACTTCCCTTCAGATCACTGGGAAGACTACTTCGACTATTATGATCCCTATCAGGATCCCTATCAGGACTGGTACTGATCATCAAATTCTCGTGTCGCTGGAGAACTGGTACTGATCAACAAATTCACCTCTTGTCGCTCGAATGATGGCTATTATTATCCCCTCACTGGTCACCTGTACAACAGCCTGACAGCTGCTTATTCTACTTCCCCTGTGATCACCATGACAACTGCTTATTCCACTTCCCCTGTGATCACCATGACGACTGCTTATTCTACTCCCCCCTCAAATCACCATGACCATATTGCCTATTCCACTTCCCCTTGTATAACCATGACAACTGCTTTTAATTAATCCACTTCCCCTCAAATCACCATGACGACTGCTTATTCCACTCCCCCTCAAATCACCATGACCATATTGCTTATTCCACTTCCCCTTGTATAACCATGACAACTACTTTTAATTAATCCACTTCCCCTCAAATCACCATGACGACTGTTGATTCTGGTTCCCTTTTCCCTTAGATCACTAAGATGGCTGTGTTTTTGACCATGTGAATGTGATAGATGAGCTGATCAAAACATCACAATGTAACCTATTGCATATAAATTAGGACTATTTCATGGTTTTGTAATGGAGCCCATTTCAAACAGTCACAAGAAGAAAGGAAATAAGATTTCCAGTCAGTTTTCCGAGAGATGTTGGTTGTCCTGAGATTTCATATATATATATACTATTTATACTTAACATGATATACTGGTCACAAAATACAGCATTACACAGGGATCTTTTGTTAGTAACTAGTATACATATGGTATTTACATTGTTTGCTTTTCATTTTACGGTTTTTAGCTCACCTGGCCAAAAGGGTCAAGTTAGCTTTTATTTTTATGAAGGGCTCGTGGTCAACATCTGTCATCTCTGTCCGTCACTCTCAAGGTCACAATGGTTGATGATTAAAAACCTTCAAACAACTTCTTCTGAATAACCCAAGGGCCCAGGGTAATGCTATCTGGCCAGTAGCATGCTTGGATAAAGGGCTACCAAGTTTGTTCAAATAAATAACCTTGGCCCCTTTCAAAGTTCCAGAGATCAAATATGTTAAAATCTTGAAACAACTCCAGTCCTCAATAACTGGAAGGCCAAGGTTAGGATGGTGAATTTTGCTTAATTTAGCTCATTTTAATAAGGTTGCTTTTGTTTTGCTGGTGTGAGATTAATACCAGGTGAGCTATTCAGGCCCATTTGGGCTTCTTGTTTATACAAATTGCTCCACTATTCCAGTTATGTTGTTATCTAGCTACTTGAGTGTTGAAAGTGACTGCATATTTGAGGTTCCACTGAATTTGTGGTTCCAGTCGATGTAATCTTGAAAACTGCAAAAATATTCATGCTATGTGTATACGGTATCAGCTGCAGTCTGCACACTGTTCTGTAAAAGCAAATATATTAAATTGGAGGTTTTCTAAACTTTTGAGAAAAGAACATTCTTAGAGGCAATTTTTTACACAGTGAGAAATGTTTGGTGTCACAAAATATGTTTTGATACTCAAACTTGTAAAATTTGTATTAACATTTAGTCTGCTAGATCAGGATCAAATAGATTCTGTAGCTTATTGTCATAATTATAATTAATTGTAATCATTTTGACATGACACCGTTCCAAATGCATACTCTGAATTAATTTTGTTTTCATCCAGATCGATTTCAAAACTATTGAAAATTTCACAGTGCTTGTTTACATGTACCTGTTTATATATATATGTTCATCTTATAAACAAGGATTTTTTTTTTGTGAATTCTTTCTTATTTTACATCAGTTTGTTCCTTAAAGTCTCTAAAATCCCCCCAATAAATCTATTGTTAGTTGTGACCTTGCCACTTACCTCTGACTGTTATAAACTGTAGTACAATTTTCTGCAATTATTTTAGTGTCGACACAATAAAACAGTTTTGGTGGATTGTAGAATTCAGTTTACATTTAACACACCAAGTGTAGTGCTGGTATAAATTTGCCACCTTCTAATTATAGCACCAGTCTGCTGTATTTCATGATACCATATTCGTTTGTTCGTTACAAACTTTTATGCATCACCATCATTATATCGCCAAACCTCCTTGTAATTTCAATTTACCCAGACAAAATGTGGTATTATAAAGGGGTCTTACTGTGTTTGTATCCTTTGGAAAGAAATTTTGTCACATAGATTCAATTTGTCACAAACATAATTTCTGAGTTCCCATCTAGATCCCCTGGCTTTTGTTATAAATGCATTTTGATTTTCATGTTCTTTGTGGGCACAAAAAACACTTATTACAATTAGGCTTAATTAGACATCAAAATATGATGCAATAAATTAAATGTCTTTCTTTGTATGGAGAATTTCTTTATGAAATGTTTTCATTTGTGTTTGGAATTTGAAATTTGGAGTGAAAGCTAGTCAGAAATGACTGACTATTTCCTCTTATATTTGTTTTGATGTGACACTGACACTCAAACAAATTTAAGAGGAGAAAATCAGTTATTTAGGATTAAGTGAAAGCATGTAATTTCTCACATTCTTGTCTGAGGAAATTCAGGGTTGAATGAGAGTTTAACTATTTGCATTACATTTATAGATTATTCAGTGTTTTTGTTACCTAAATTTTTACAACAGCCAGTTTGTTTATAAATTGGGAAAATACAGCATTATTTGTATTGAATTTGGGAATATATTCCCCAGTTTTGGGTAATTTTTGGAGAATAAGGCACTTTTTAGCTAGGGGAAACAGCCTGTATTCGGCAGTAAAACCGAGCAAAAATAAAATAAAAAAATTGTTGATAATATCCACAAACTTTAGTCTACAAAAAATAAACGCTAGAGTCACCTGACCGATAACAAGTATCATTATGTTAGCTGATCAGCTGTATATTGTGTTTTGTCTTATTTTCAAGTGACTATATATATATAGATGCTTGGTTTTGTGATTCAGTTATTTCTAATACAGGCAAATACATGTAATAATTTGTATTTCTCTGCAAAAAATAAATAAATTATCCACCTAATAATAATTTTTAAAAATCTTTATCATCTGTGAGCATATTCGAGCAATAATCTGAAGCTATCGGAGATTTTAATGTTTTAACACAGTCTAGAAATGAAGAAGTTATGTATCAAATTGGTGACCGTGTTCTCTACCAACTCTTCTGTGTTTTATATTTGTCTGGTCCATAAGGTTGTGAAACATAATCATTTTAACAAGTTATATACCTATATATCAATACTCAATACTGGTGTAATTTTTCTGTAAAACCAATATACACTTATTTACTAACTGCAGTTGGAATTTGAAGTCAGGTTTATTTTGATGCAATATCCAATAATTATTTTTGCAATTAAATATCATTCAGATAAATATTAAGCAAGCAATCAAAATCTGAACAACATATAAAAGTTGCATATTTGCAATTTTAAACGGAAGATCAAAAAAAGAGTGTTGCCCAAACATTCAGAAGAAAAGAAGTCTTATGACCAAAAGAACAGTTCGAATCACATCTCTAACTCTTCACCAGGTATATAAACGGGTGAGGTCGTTAAGGGGAAGTATACAATATCCAATCTGTGATTTTAATGTACTGAACAACAAAGGGGGACAAGTGGTTTAATTCTATTACAAAATTTAGCATAATAGTGATTCATGTTTGATCCCAGATCAGCACCACAACAATGTTTAATAAAAGAATGATGGGATTTATCGTGTTGTTTATAGTGTATTTGTTAGCTCACCAGGTACGAGGGACTGGTGATTAGCTGGCATACGGTGAAGTAAATGTTGGCTGTCATCCTTTTTTTCCCCAAATCCTTAATCGTGAAAACCTGATCAAATTTCAACAAAATTGGTTATGTTGCATTCTTGGACCAAAGACTCAAATATTCAAAGTGAAGGTATTCTGATATCCCGATCCTCACTTGGGTGGTGATGAGCAGGGCCCAATAGGGGAAAATTGGTGAATTTCAGCTCTGAAAAGACCCACTTCTGAAGGGCTCGACAGATTCTAACCAAATGACGCAGTTAACATCAGAAAGGACGAAGTAATTTGTAGTCATAAAGGCTGTAACTCCCAGGGTGCTTGGAAGTGGGACCCAAGGCTGTAACTCCCAGGGTGCTTGGGAGTGGGACCAAAGGCTGTAACTCCCAGGGTGCTTGGAAGTGGGATCCAAGGCTGTAACTTCCAGGGTGCTTGGGAGTGGGACCCAAGGCTGTAACTCCCAGGGTGCTTGGGAGTGGGACCCAAGGCTGCAACTACCACTGGGCTTGGGAGTGGGACCCAAGGCTGTAACTCTTAGGGTGCTTGGGAGTGGGACCCAATGCTGTAACTCCCAGGGTGCTTGGGAGTGGGACCCAAGGCTGTAACTGCCAGGGGGCTTCATAGTGGAGGGGAGGAGCAGGCCCCAAGGCTGTAACTCTTAGGGTGATTGGGAGTGGGACCCGAGGCTTTTACTCTTAGGGTGCTTGGTAGTGGGCCCCAAGGCTGCAACTACCACGGGGCTTGGTAGTGGGACCCAATGCTGGAACTCACAGGGTGCTTGGGAGGGGGACCCAAGGCTGCAACTAACAGTGGGCTTGGGAGTGGCACCCAAGGCTGTAACTCTTAGGGTGATTGGGAGTGGGACCCGGGGCTGTAACTCCCAGAGTGCTTGGGAGTGGGACCCACGGCTGTAACTCCCAGAGTGCTTGGGAGTGGGCCCAAAGGCTGTAACTGCCCGGGGTCTTCATAGTGGAGGTGAGGGGCAGGACCCAAGGCTGTAACTGCCAGGGGGCTTGGGAGTGGAGGTAAGGAGTGGGACCCAAGGCTGTAACTGCCAGGGGACTTCATAGTGGAGGTGAGGAGCAGGACCCAAGGCTGTAACTCAGTGGGCTTGGGAGTGGGACCCAAGGCTGTAACTCCCAGGGGGCTTGAGAGTGGAGGTGAGGAGGGGGACCCAAGGCTGTAACTGCCAGGGGACTTGGGAGTGGAGGTGAGGAGCGGGACCCAAGGCTGTAACTGCCAGGGGGCTTGGGAGTGGAGTGGGACCCAAGGCTGTAACTGCCAGGGGGCTTGGGAGTGGAGGTAAGGAGTGGGACCCAAGGCTGTAACTGCCAGGGGGCTTGGGAGTGGAGTGGGACCCAAGGCTGTAACTGCCAGGGGCTTGGGAGTGGAGGTGAGGAGTGGGACCCAAGGCTGTAACTGCCAGGGGGTTTCAGAGTTGAGGAGTTGAGGATTCATAAGAGAGTAAAAGATTCCATATAATAGAAGACACAAACAAATTCTCATCATTGTATATGTATATAATTTTATTCTCACAGTAATATAGCCCTATCAGTGGTCAAGGATATATAATATAATATATACAGTGTTATACTGGTGTGTATGCCGACCAACTGATGCTTTTATCACACGGTGAGTCATATACACATGCAAGGGTTCCCCTAAACCATCCACACATATTGTAGAAATGTCGTAGAGTTATCGCTTTAACAATCAACCATTAATGATGAACCTGCTCCGAGCTAAATTAAATGAGCTCAAGTTTGAATGTTAATTGTAATAGAAATTAAGCTTAGAATGTAAGGCAAACTCAAAATGTTGGAGACACTGAGGCAAGTAAAAGTTGAAAAAAAGTTATCAGAAACTAAAGAGTTTGAACCCTACAGCTAGTCCACCAGTTCCCACTTTGAAAGAGGTAGCCGACCATAGCTTTATAGCCTTCAGTCAGAATTTATAAAATGAGCTATGGGGTATCGACGGCTAAAGACTATACTGTGCCATTCCATCTCGTAAAATGGACCAGATCACAGAGAACGATACATATATTTTGGCCCTAGCCTCAATTCAGCTATACAAATTACATGTACAGTAGCAGCATTTACATAATTTGTATCAAGTCAAAAGAAATTGATTCAGGATCTCCCCTACGGAGTTTCATAGTCTGCATTTTGTGTATAGATTTCTTAAAAGTGTACAACCCTGATATAAACATACAATGTACCACACTTAATTTTACGACTGATCAATATAAATATTTCTTCAAATAATTTGCATAAAACAATTTGTATAAATCCCAATTGTCTCTTCCAAGTAAAGTATACATATATACACGTCTTAATCATGTACACAAGATGGTGGTCTTCTTTTCAAATTTATTGGTGAAAACCATTTGTGAAAAGATTCATGTGGCACAACCAAAAAGTGTTTATATGTGACATTTCGATGAATAGTACGGTATGACCAATAAAGCATATGTACGCAAATGTGTGAAATGTGTACGAGTTGTCCACAAATTGATATCGATTAGACTTCGCTGTAACGATATGTACAATAAGTTATATATGTACCAAAATAACTTGATTCAGCTATGCTTTGTTTAATACTTGGTCATAGATGTGCGAGAGTCTACGAGTCCCCTCATCTCGATTTGCGTACACGCTTTACTGGATATTTGTCCAATGAAGGTGACAAGAGTACATAGCGTCCTAGTCATCGAAACGTCGGATAAAAACACTTTTTGGTTGTGCTACATGAATCTTTTCACAATCTATACTTACCAACCTTAAGAAAATGTTTAGAAATATTCTGGTATGGAGATAAAATGCACTGCATAATGACACCTCCACTACATTGATACATCAAGATGGCATCCAATTAATTTAACAATTAAAGCATGCATATCGGTGTACATTTTAAAACTAGCAGTTGATTAACATTACTGGTTAGTCCCAATCATTATCATTAAAGACATTTCATGGGTCTCTTATAAATGCAGAACTCTTTCTGAAAGAAGATGCATATCGTCAGAGTAAGGTAGCATACAGCCTTAAATTGCAATCAAGCTTTGACTAACCGTACAGTTACTCAAGGTTTTAGTGTAGAACATCCCAAATTTCTGTGATCAACATAGACAAATTTCATTCACATTAATGAGGCCAAGCAAAAATAAATGTTGTGGTTTTGCTTTTGGATCTCCAAAATATTTAAACCAAGGTTTTCATTGAGAGAAAAAATCTCAGACAGTGAAAACATTTTTGTTTTGGCCTTATTTTATTATTATCATCATTCATTTGAATACAACATTTAAACATAACTTAACAGCCCCATAAAATGGAAGTCTTCTAAGATCAGCATCATTCAACCCAGCTTATACAAGGAAAATAGGTCATATATTCACATTTTTTCCTTAAATTTGATAATACTTTCTTAAACACAATGCATTTATAATTATTTAAATTAAGTATTTAATTGTATCACAGGTGCTTGAATTAATTGACACATCCTCCTAAAAATTCTCTGACTAGAGCAAGGCTACTACTAATACCACAGGATAAAGTAGAAGGCTAGCTTGCCTTGCTCAAGTCTGTATTATTTTAAGGAGAGGAGCCATTTTTTTCAAGTATCTGCATTGTACTGTTGAAGAATATAGATTTCTACTTTAAACAGTACTGTCTCATAAAAATGATTTTAAAATTTCAGATTGATAAATAACTGAAAACCTGCCGTTGTAAGTGTATATATATCCTAATACATACACCACTTGTAAATTGTAGGTATGGGTGAAGCGCAGCTGTAGGCACACAACAAAAAATCACTTTAATATCTCCATACAATGTATGACTATCATAGTCAATCTAGCTTTAAATATAAAAAATTCATGTAGAATCGACAGAATGTGAGTCGTGTTCTAATCAACACTGAAAATCAAATCTACACACACAAAAAGAAAAACGCCATCATCTTACATGCTTTACACGTACAATCATGGAATGTGTGAAATGCCCCAAGATATAAAACAATGAAAAGAAAAAAAATACAGAATGTTACAAATAAATCACAACAAAGTTTGAAGACATAATGGAGGTCAAAGTCAATAAATATACAGGTGCAGGAAACTCGGGCTTCATCTTCACTATTGTTATAAATTTGTGTAAAAGATCTATGTTTCATTTCAGCATCTCAGAATTATCTCCCCTTATCTTTTGTTTCAGGAATTGTGCGGGTTTGTTCATTTGCAGGTTTACCGATACAAATGACTTTGATTTTGCAGTTAGTTGGTCTGGCATATGAACATGACTCAAACATACCGTCATCCTGTGATAACATTTACTTTGCCACTTATTACGACAATGACCATACAGTAAATACATGTATATCGCAAACAATTTATATACGGTGTTATTTATTGTTTCAATTTACTTTTATTTATTATTCAATACTGACTTCCTCAGCCTAATTAAGATATTTTTAGTTAAGTTTCAATACTCGTAGTTTAGTTTATCTGACTTGTTTAATCTGAGCCCAGTTTAACTTGTTGAGTCCATTTTTTTTTTAATTGTTTAGTTGAGTCCAGTTTGGAATTGTTTTAATTGAGTCCAGTTTGGACTTGTTTTAATTGAGTCCAGTTTGGACTTGACCTAGAGAAATTCAGTTAGAAGAGTTAATTTGAATCTTAGATTAATTCATTTAGTGGTCTGATTTAGTTGAATCTATGGTACTGACTCGTCTTAGTAATTTATTTTAGTTTATTTAGTAGAGTCTAGTTTTTAGTGTTTTAGCTGAATCTAGTACAGACTTGTCTCAGTTGTTTAATTTCAACATTTTTAGTTGAATCCAGTTTTCACTTAGCTGAGTCTGAATTGTACTTTTTTTCTTGTTTTAGCTACAGGTAGATCATGATAAATGCTTGTATAAGCCTGGTGTCATATTGTGTTATTGTCGAGGAGAGAATGTGTTCTACAGAAAAAAAATCATTATACAAACTTACTGACTGAAGCGTTACAATACAGGATTGTTTAAAATTTTATAAAGCACAGTCGGGTACATGTATCTCTTTATGGCCTGTGTCCTCACGTATGTGATGTGCGTATTTACGACTGAGAAGAAAATGTTGAGAAGATATTACATATTTCTGACCACGGGTATGTGATTTAGCAATGTGAGAAATTGGCCTTTCTAGCTACTTATTCAAAGAAATATTTTCTTTAAAAGTGGGGCACTCTTTGTGGAGTAGTAATAGAGTTAAGGTCTTTATAGACAGTCTTTTTTTGTAAAATCTGAATTTTCCCTGCACTTGTATTTCTGTACTTTTAACAGGTGACAACAAAAATATCACGTAAAAGTTTAATGAATTTTCATCTTCAACCATAAATGTTTTTGTGTTATGAAAACAAACACAATTTAATATATCAAACAAATGCAATAAGAAACGTCTGTATCTCGTATATATATGTACTACTTATAAAATCTACCGACCTTTAACATTTAATACTGTCCCGCTCAATAAAGCAAAGAATAGAAAATCTAGTCTTCTGTCTAAAAAATATATATAATATTCCTAAACAAACATGCAAATAGCATGCAAACAGATAAAACGTGTTCTCCTTGGCAAGCTTGTCCCTACCTCCCTTAGACTATCAACAAGCCTACACACCTAAACACATATCACTCATCTAATTGACTACTGTTATTCCTGGAAAAACTGAAATTATATTCAGATATACATAATCGATTCTTTTTTTCTAAAAAGGGTTTTCCCTGGGAACTCCAGTTATCTCCTACATTAGACCCACCATGTACTTCCAACTGGGCCAACAAGAGAAATTGATAAAATTGATAAAATGAAATAAAATTTTCATTTTTTAGAATCTATCATAATTATGAAAGTATGGCCAAAATGACAATTCTTTAACGATTATAAACTGATATTGCAAACAAAGAGTAGATTTTTCTATATGGTACTCTAGATTTATTTATTTCATCTTTTGTTTTATCAAATTAATAGGTTTTTATCAAAATACAGGGTTTGATGTAGGAGGAAAACAGTCAGTTGTGACTTAATTTATAAATAGATACAAAGTCTAACCATGGTTGCGAAATCTCCATATCCTGACAAATTGCGTAAAAAGCTGCATTTGCAAGCAAGGGAAAACATGTTGAATAAACAATAACACGGTCTACATAGACTGTGAGTCTTCTATATAAATCATTAAATCAACAACAAATTTACTTCTAATTCACCGGCTAAAGACGACCGTGACCTATGGAGCTTTTGACAGCACTGGAATAAAATTTCAGCATCTGGACCGACTTAAAACTGTATTAAGACAACTAAAGAGATGGCTGAAACTGATCACATCCCTGTAGATAAAGTGTCTTGGGGCAGGCTTTGTAGAAATTTAAATTACTTTACTTAATGTTATATGCTTTATACGCAAGATAAAAAAATAATTGAATAACATGTAGTTTGACAGATACTGTAAAGACTTTGTTAGCTGTTTTGAAAAAAAAAAAAATTGATACCGTTCAAAGCAATAAAACAACAACCAGTATGGAAGAAAACATATACTTTTAACTACTGCTGAATTCACCGACTCGAGAAATTTCTGAATAGAAAAAGGTTTGTATAAAACCAAGAAACATTTACTGCAGAATCTGCGTAGACACATGTCTCATCAGTCGAATATCCAATTTGACTTTAAATTTCTCTCAAAGCATACAACCCACTACATGTACAACTACAACTATTATGTTAAAAATAGTTTTAAAAATGCCTCGAGTCTTGACTATAACAACTTAAGTGACCAGCAATAAAATTAGGAATCAAATGCTACAATTATGGAATAACTAAGGGCCCTATACATCTTACAGACTTGCATACATGAGAGAAGATTAAAGACCTTCAATCAACTTCACTAGAATAACAGTTACATTACAATCTTATTTTCAAGCAGTCTAAATGATTGGATGTCCAAAACCTGTTTATGCACAAACAAAAGTATACAAACCATACATTATTTTTATGCAGGGGAAAATTTTGTATTAGAGTTATCTCCCTTACACTGTCTGACACCAATCTGTAAGTCACTGCATTAAACTCGTTTGTTTCTGAACACAGAATGGAACGAACAAATGATCTGATGTTGTTTTCTGGTGAGTCTTGAACCAGTAAAATTGGTCTGAATGCAAATTCTGACCTTAAAACACACCACAAGCAATCAACGATATCAACATTTTCACTGCTTGAAATGGATTTGACCAATGAAAATTAAAAGCTTTGAATGATCAATTGACCTATCTTATTGGTTTAAACATGTTTCTTTTGTCCACCAACAGCCAATAAAATGACCCCTAATGATAGAGCACTTCTTTTCACTTACGGGGAATGGAATGTCTTGAACAGGTGCTTATAAAAGCGACAGAACTATATCTCCCTGAGGACTTTATTCCACCTAGCTGACCTATTCAAGAAATACGGATTCTGTTAGGACAAGAAGAGCTTTGCTTAAAATAATGTATGTTTTGGTTGGAATATGTTTTTCATATTTAAAAAAGATTCAAAATCGTCAACATTTTTTTTTAACAGTTGTAATTTTTCGAATTTTTAATAAGTTAAAACTTAGATAAAATTAAAACTTTGAAGAGTTTTAAATTATAAATCTTTCATCTATCATGTTATTTTGAAGCAAAAAAAAAAAAAGAGGAAAAACGTCAAAAGATTATACATTGAAATAACTGCCGTTGAGTGAGTGACCTCTGACCTTTGTTATCCTCTCTCTACATGATCACAGGGACATTACAGATATAATAATATAACAATTTGAACCTGTAGTTAAAATATAAAGTCCTGCATAGATTATAGAAACTCTCGTGGAGTTTAGAGGCTATGTTCTACACAGCCGTTGATTGGCTGTTTCCACGGTATGACATCAGATTTCGCTCGATTCTCTACTTGCACACTGAAATCCTCACTCAAACTTTTGGCCTGGCACATATGAACAGTCTTGTTTCCACCGGACATGAATGAATTATCACAACACTTGCTACAAACTCCATTGTGCTCTTCCGGCTCCGGGGAGGAATATTTCAGACGCTTCCGCCGCTCACAGTGGCCATTTTCTAAGTGAAGATGATGGCTATTGTGTTTCGTTCCAGCTAAACTCTTATCGTTCGATTGGTTGGCTGCTTGCCTGTTCATAAGTGACATCAGGTGGTTACAGAGCAACTGGACAAACCCATCTACTCCCTCGTAACCTGAAACACCACAACATATACACATACTTACTGGTACGACTCACTATATTTGCGCTAGTGTAAAAGTGGAAATGTTTACGTTGTGACTCTTTAAACTGATTGTGGTGTGGACATTTTTGCGTTGTCAATAGTTCTGATATCTGAAATCTAGATATTCCATCTATAATCTTGATAATCTATTGATAAATAATTGATATTTGCATGAGGATGTTTCCCCATTTACTCACACAGTGCGAAAAACATGAACATTTTCACACCACTAATATTTCCACTTATACACTATTTTCATTTTGGTACGAGTACATGTATATCATGATTTTCGACCTGTATTAAGTTGAATTCACTCTCTTAGGTTTAAAGGACAAACATTTTCCGTTTCACAACGTTAATGTATTAACAGTCTGTAGGAAAAATGTACTTTGAACAGAAAAAGGAATCTTTTCTTTTACATTACACTTCTTATTTTAATCACTGCAAACTGCATTATTTTGGCGCAATTAAATTTGAACACATTTTCAAATTTTATCAGATTAGCTCGTTTAATTTGCATATTGACAATATAAGAAATACAAAACAATTTACAGATAAGTGCAATCATAATTTAGCACATTAAGCGCTAAATCAGATACCGTAATGATTACCACTAAATTATGAACTGTGTACCTGGAAATTTTGCTGCAGTTCAATTTTTGCCTTTTTCGCCCTACATGATGAGGGCAAATATATATCATTCTAGCGAAAATAAGTAAATAACATAATAATCATAGTTATTAATTGAGAAGGGCAAAATTAACACTGGGCGAAAAACTGATTTTACAGGCTAGGGGCAAAAGTTTGACTGGGCGTAACTTTCCTGGTATACAGTGTGCTTACAGTACTTAGAAAAATGTTAAAAGAACCAAAACCGTTTTGTTATATAAACCTACCTGGGAAGGCGTTGATGTCGATTACAGCATATTTATTGGTGATACAGTCAACAATGACGTCAATACCGAAGAGTTGTATCTGGAACTCGAGACCAACGACTTGTCCTAGCTCCTTCAGCAGTTCAAGGTCAGGTTTTACTGGGGATTCATTCCTGTTTGGGTCACCCTCGTCTAACTGGACAGCACAAAAGGTCAAACATATACACATGCTATTATTTTCAACAGAACTGATTTTCCTATTTTCAATTCATACAATCTTTCAATTCATGACAACTGGATATATATTGTAAATACACTTCAATATTACACTAAATGTAGTTTACTTTTCTCAAAACAACAGTATCACTTTTAATGTACCCATTTCATTTTTTTATCACAATTTGTTGTGCTCATGACTTGATATTAAATGGAACACATTATTGTACATTTTTAACATCACATGATCAATACATGTTTATATATAGATTTACACAAAAATGTATTATGTTCTCATTGTCCTGTGGATATAGATTTATATACATACCTCTGTTAGTGCGTTTGAGCAATTTGGCTTGGATATCTGACTGGAATCGAAATAAATTGTTTCTTGGTCTGAAAAATAGAAAGTTGTTACAAGATCATTACGTTTAATAAATATGCATCATTTATATCTTTTGTAAGGATTCAATTTGAATCAAGTGTTTTCAGTAGCCGAGATTCAATTAACGCCCTCTCCATAATATCCCCATTTCTGTTTTTGGTTTGTAAAGAAATAAACCCTTCAAAATTGTATGCAAACTTTGAATATCCAACACTCCTAAAAATTTTTTTTAAATAATTTCTTTTTTAACAAATTGAAAAAAAAGATGTTCTTAAGGCCATCGTAATTGGAGGCATACTATCTTTAAGTATGACACAAATGTTGATAATGTATGTCATTTCAAAATAGTTGTAAGTCACACACTCATACGCACAAAATTACTTTGTTTTTCCCAAGACAGCAATTTCATGTAACAAGACTTCAAACTATAGTCAGTTTACAACTTACAAATACAGAATTTGCATCCCTAAATCAGGTTCTAGACAGACTGCCTAAACTTGTTCAATACCTGGTAGCTTCATTTGCCAAAATAAATTTGAATAGTTTCCAAGTAGGTATAACTTTTCAAAAGATTAGAGAAATGTTACACAATAACATTTGATTAAGATGTGAACAACATTCATATGACGTGGAAAGTTTGGTAGAAAGTAGAAACACAAGATTTGAAATTGATACACACCCTCATTGTAGAAATTTTTCAGCGACGGTCGCTCTGTAATATACTGTTTGTCCCCTATCACAAAGACTTTGTAAAGAACGGCATTGTGATTGATGAAAGTCTGGGCAACACACGGCGGCTGGACGTCCTTCAGACCATACTCGTTGAAAATGATACACATCTAAAAGGTCAAACATGAAACCAACAGTTAACAGTGAAATTTTATTCATCCAACTACCTTTTTCCCAGTAATAGTAGGTATATTTAGAAATTACTGAATTACTGGCAAAATTTAAATTGAAAGCTATCCCAAAAAACGCTGGCTGATCTAAAATGAGATTGGTGGTTGGTTGGTACAGTAGATAACAAGTGGCAATGAAAAGGTATGGGGGTCTCCTGGGGTTTTCTCTAGGTACTCCAGTTTCCCTCCAACGTTAAAATACCCTGCATGTTACCATCTGGGCCAACAAGAGTGCTTAATATAAGTTGGGGGACTCCCTGCCCCCTAACATCTGGATCTACACCAAACAGAGATGCCCAACTCCTCATATCTGGTTCTACACCAGACAGAGATGCCCACCCCTCACATCGGGATCTACACCAGACAGAGATGCTCCACCCCTCACATCGGGATCTACATCAGACAGAGATGCCCCACCCCCTCATATCAGGTTCCACACAAGACAGAAAAGACCCAACACATTCACATCTGGACCTACATAAGACAAGAGATGCCCCACCCCCTTCATATCTGGATCTACACCAGACAGAGATGCCCCACCCCCTCACATCTGGATCTACATCAGACAGAGATGTCCCACCCCCTTCACATCTGGATCTACATCAGACAAGAGATGCCCCACCCCCTTCACACCTGGATCTACATCAGACAGAGATGTCCCACCCCCTTCACACCTGGATCTACATCAGACAGAGATGTCCCACCCCCTTCACACCTGGATCTACATCAGACAGAGATGCCCCAACCCCTTAATATCAGGATCTACACCAGACCGAGATGCCCCACCCCATTCATATCTGGATCTACATCAGACCGAGATGTCCCAACCCCTTCCCATCTGGATCTACACCCGACCGAGATGCCCCACCCCCACACATCTGGATCTACACCCGACCGAGATGCCCCACCCCCTCACCTCTGGATCTACATCAGACCGAGATGTCCCAACCCCTTCACATCTGGATCTACACACGACAAAGATGCCCCACCCCCCCCCATCTGGATCTACACACGACAAAGATGCCCCACCCCCTCACCTCTGGATCTACATCAGACAAGAGATGCCCCAACCCCTTCACATCTGGACCTATAGCAGACATGGAACTCACCTTGTGGGACATACTGGTGCTATGGGCAACTATTGGTTTACAAACTGTAAAAGAAATAACAGCAATTAGTAACATCATCGATTCTAATAAACATAATACATGAACCTTAAAAACTGACTACTTTCTATCTGGAAAAAGCATTTTCACCTGGTACAGGTATAAAACACCTTGAAAGAGTCAAAACTGAAAGTCCCTGGTTTTGGGCGAAGTTCAACTATATAAATATATAATTTGGGGATGAGTTCACTCAAACAGTCCATGATTGGGGATAAGCTAAATCAGGACAAGAGGCCCAAAGGGCATTAATGCTCATATGAGTTCAAATCATAAATATCATAGCCAATCAGAGGCCATGGTGGCCATCTTGGATTTTTTGGATCAGTATGAAAAGTAACAACAACTTTTGGGGGACTCTTTAAGGGACAACCTCAGAAACGTTTGTACCAAGCTTGAAGTCAATCAGTTCAGATTTATGTTCTAAAGATGAAAACATTGAAAATGTCAATTATTAACGCACAACGGACGATGTACAACACACGACTACAGGCGAAGACAGACGGCAATAGCTCACATGAGCAATCATATGAGCTAAAAATCCACGATAAAGAGATGATTTCAATAAAAAGTAACTGTTATCTAGAAATGTGTTAAAAGTCAGTGATTCAAAGATATCAAGTAAAATTAAAAGTCAGTGATTCAGAGATATCGAGTTAGATCAAAAGTCAGTGATTCAAAGATATCACCCCTATGTAACTTCAGTAAACTCTTCCATGCATTGATTTGGATGAATCCATTATGGTCTACAGTGGTGAAAGGTTCAAATTAAAAGATCGTGATTGAGGAATTCCTTAGAATAACAGTTTGTGATTGAGGATTTATAAAGTTTTTTAAGCTGAGATTACAGTTAAAAGCATATCAATAGTGAGCTTAAACATGAGGAGACTGTGATTTAAGCTGATGTTAATGGAAAGTTCATAATTTGTCATCGTGTGATTGTATAAACTTGTCGTGTGAAAGTTAATTTTGCATAACGCTATGTGTTTTTAGCCTTTTTGATAGAATCTGTAATCCTAATTCATTTATAAATGAATATATGTTCAATTAATCTCAAAATGTAACATACTGCAGAATTATTATCCATCCAACTGCAATAAACATGCATTAATAAAATCAGGGTTTCTAACTTATTTTTTTTTCTATGATAATTTACCACATGCCTCATTATAATTACTCTTTCCCTTTAACAAACTCTTAATTCTAGAAGGATCCTCCTGGTCAAATAGCAGTGGCGAATCCAGAGACCTAAATGTATCAGGTTGGGTTTCCAAATTTCCAGGGGGGGTTTCCAAGTGGGGGAAAATTGTGGAGAATGGTGAAAATACGTTATTTTTAAAGAAAATTCTCAGGGTGACCTATATTCCCCAATTTGACCCCAGCCTCATGTCCCAAGGAAAGCCACACCCTTTCCAAGTAAATGATTTGTCTCCTTGGCTAAATGATGCTTAAGATAAAGTAAGGTTCAAATCCTTTAATCCGTACTCAAGGAAAAGTATTTTATATATTTACCTACATTTCCCCTATTGGGTCCCACCCCTCTTTGTAAAATATTATTTAAAATTTCCCATAGGATGCTTCAAAGTAAATAATGGTAAAATTCCTTACTCTTAATCAAGGAGTATGGTTTTAAAGGTTTTCCTATATTTCCCCTGAATGGCCTCTGACTTATCTGTCCCTAGGCTAGCCACATCCTCCATTCATCCCAAGTTGAATCTCATTGGCATTAAAGGATGCTCCAGACCATTTGAAGTTTATAATCCCTTTCCCATATTCAAGAAGTGGGATTTTAAAAATTTACCTACATTCCCCTTAATGGGCCCCATCCATCCATCTGCTCCCAGAGGGACCACACCTTTCATTTACAAAGGGATGAGTCCCTTGTCCCAAGGATTCCCCAGATCAATAAGGTAAAAATTTGTTATGCCACATTCAAGAAATATGACTTTCATTCCCTTTATTGGTCTTGCCCCTCTGCTCCCAAGGGGAATCACACCTTTCATTTATACAGCATTGAATCCTCTTGGCCCAAGCATGCTCCAGACAAACTTAGATTAAAACTTCTCTATCCATACTCAAGTTGGAAGCTAGATTTAAGTTTAATCCCCTTGACCCAAGGATGCCCTAGACCAGTTTAGATTAAAATCCCTTCATGGATCCTCAAGGAGTAGGATTTTAAAGATTTACCTGTATTTCCCTTGTTGGGTCTCGTCCCTAGAAAAGTCAACCCTTTATTTATACAAAATTGATTCCCCTTGCAATGCTCCAGACAAAATTTGGTCAAAATCCATTTAGCCATTCTGGACTGGTAGGCTTTTTAGCGAAAATAGAAGTTGACAGATGCATATGGACGCCACACAAAAGCTAGTGAGCTAGAAAGTGATGGTCTGAAAAGTCAGCAAGTACAGAGCAGACCACTTTGCAATGACACACAGATACATGTGCGGTATAAAATGAGTTTTGGGCCCCCAGGCCAGTGGAATAAAAGTTAATAAAATGAACAAAGAAATTAATTAAATATTTCTCATTTCACTGGAGATTGAGGAATCAGATGGTCTATATTTGATTTACTCTAACATTACGACAGGTTGTTGTTCGTTTACTGACGTACTGAAGACGAGTGTTACACCAAATTGTCTTCTTGTTGCCATACATGTCATGCGTCGATATGGTAACACCTTGCACACACCTCGCATAAAGCTTAGTAGGTCTAGCGTAATACTATTTCAGCTATTTACTCCACAGAAAAAGTCAAAATCAATATAATCTAAAACTATGAATTTGTTAACAAGGTATCATGTACAATATATACATTGTATCTGATCATTCAAAATTTGTTAAAAGATTTTCCACAGAGCTATAAAGCCACTGTTTAAGTGCTGCAGATGGAATTACATGGTCAACCATGACCACTATGGCAGTGAATTAATAACCTTGACAGAAGTACTGTAATCATTTTTTTAAAAGCACCCATTCCAACTTCTGTTAATTTCATGTCTGTCAATTGATGCAATCAAATAATTTTACCGATTACATTTTTACCAGTGAAATATATAGGGCTTCACATTTTTTCTCTCCAATTTTCACACCTAGGTAACTTGAGGCTTGCAAGTCAGACAGCAGGGTTTGTAGAATTTGAAAATAATATAACAAGGGGCATTGTCATTTGCGCAGTCATCGATGCACTAATCTAAAAATACATGCCGCAAATAAAAAATATAATATTATTTCTTCCGGAAACCGAACAATATCCTCAATATTGTTGTACGTGGCTTACCCTACATGGGACTCATATACCTCTGTATAGACAACAGTATGACATGTGACCATGTGCCCTGGTATACAAATCTCTCTCTACATCTGTTACCGGCAGATTTATGTGTGATTTATCAGGTATGTACATGTTCATTCCTTTAAGGATTAAATGTCAATAGATATGTCAAAGTTATCAGTAAACTGACAAGATCGGAATTTAAATCCAAGATTTTCCTAACTATATGGGCAGACACCAATTCTGAGCGATCACTGTTCATCATGAAATCTACTGAAATTTAAATAAAATCTGATACATTGATTTCTACATAAATATACAACATTATTCATCACAGTTCTGTATAAAGATTTAACCACACAAAACACTGACAGCCCATTTTAAGGACATTCATTTAATATCATGTCAGATATACAGTGTATCTGAAACAATGTTCTAATCCTGTTCAATCTGGTCTTGTTTACCCATATACTAAAGCTTTCAGACTTCTATTTTACCCATATACTAAAGCTTAGACTTCTATTTTACCCATTATATACTAAAGCTTTCAGACTTCTATTTTACCCATATACCATAGGCAGACTCCGCAAAGCATCTCCCTAATATTAACAGGCACAGACCCCACAAAGTGTCTCCCTAATATTCACAGACACAGACTCCACAAAGCATCTCCCTAATATTCACAGACTCCGCAAAGCATCTCCTTAATATTCAGACACAGACCCCACAAAGCATCTCCCTAATATTAACAGGCACAGACTCCACAAAGCATCTCCCTAATATTCACAGACACAGACCCCACAAAGCATCTCCCTAATATTGACAGGCACAGACTCCACAAAGCATCTCACTAATATTAACAGGGACAGACCCCACAAAGCATCTCCCTAATATTTACAGACACAGACTCCACAAAGCATCTAACTAATATTAACAGGTACAGACCCCACAAAGCATCTCCCTAATATTAACAGGAACAGACCCCACAAAGCATCTCCCTAATATTAACCGGCACAGACTCCACAAAGCATCTCCCTAATATTAACAGGCACAGACTTCACAAAGCATCTCCCTAATATTCACAGACACAGACCCCACAAAGCATCTACCTAATATTGACAGGCACAGACCCCACAAAGCAGCTCCCTAATATTAACAGGCACAGACTCCACAAAGTGTCTCCCTAATATTAACAGGCACAGACTCCGCAAAGCATCACTCCACAAAGCATCTCCCTAATATTGACAGGCACAGCCCCCCCAAAGCATCTCCCTAATATTTACAGACACAGACTCAGCAAAGCATCTCCCTAATATTAACAGGCACAGCCCCCACAAAGCATCTCCCTAATATTAACAGGCACAGACCCCCCAAAGCATCTCCCTAATATTAACAGGCACAGACTCCACAAAGTGTCTCCCTAATATTGACAGGCACAGACTCCACAAAGCATCTCACTAATATTAACAGGTACAGACCACACAAAGCATCTCCCTAATATTAACAGGCACAGACTTCACAAAGCATCTCCCTAATATTCACAGACTCCGCAAACATCTCCCTAATATATACAGGCAAAGACCCCACAAAGCATCTCCCTAATATTCACAGACTCCGCAAAGCATCTCCTTAATATTCAGACACAGCCCCCACAAAGCATCTCCCTAATATTAACAGGAACAGACCCCACAAAGCATCTCCCTAATATTAACAGGAACAGACCCCACAAAGCATCTCCCTAATATTTACAGACACAGACTCCACAAAGCATCTCACTAATATTAACAGGTACAGACCCCACAAAGCATCTCCCTAATATTAACAGGCACAGACCCCACAAAGCATCTCCCTAATATTAACAGGCACAGACTCCGCAAAGCATCTCACTAATATTAACAGGCACAGACCCAACAAAGCATCTCCATAATATTAACAGGCACAGACTCCACAAAGTGTCTCCCTAATATTAACAGGTACAGACTCCACAAAGTGTCTCCCTAATATTGACAGGCACAGACTCCACAAAGTGTCTCCCTAATATTAACAAGCACAGCCTCCACAAAGCGTCTCCCTAATATTAACAAGCACAGACTCCACAAAGCATCTCCCTAATATTAACAGCCACAGACTCCACAAAGTGTCTCCCTAATATTAACAAGCACAGTCTCCACAAAGTGTCTCCCTAATATTAACAGGTACAGACTCTACAAAGTGTCTCCCTAATATTGACAGGCACAAGCTCCACAAAGCATCTCCCTAATATTAACAGACACAGACTCCACAGAGCATCTCCCTAATATTAACAGGCACAGACCCCACAAAGCATCTCACTAATATTAACAGGCACAGACCCAACAAAGCATCTCCATAATATTAACAGACACAGACTCCACAGAGCATCTCCCTAATATTAACAGGCACAGACTCCACAAAGTGTCTCCCTAATATTAACAAGCACAGACTCCACAAAGCGTCTCCCTAATATTAACAGGCACAGACTCCACAAAGCATCTCCCTAATATTGACAGGCAGACTCCAAAAAGTGTCTCCCTGATATTGACAGGCACAGACTCCACAAAGCATCTCCCTAATATTGACAGGCACAGACTCCACAAAGCATCTCACTAATATTGGCAGGCACAGACCCCACAAAGTATCTCCCTAATATTAACAGGCACAGACTCCACAAAGCGTCTCCCTAATATTGACAGGCACAGACTCCACAAAGCATCTCCCTAATATTGACAAGTACAGGACTAACAATATAGCCTACAATAATAGTGTTACTATAGCAACACTACTTCAGTTTCCTTCTTAAAACATTCAGAAAAACAACAACAACAACAACAATTTAGTCCATACAACTGTTACCATAGCAACACCATAAAGAGTCTTTTAACCTTTAGGCCAATAGTAAAGTCTACACAACTGTTACCATAGCAACACCACAAAGTGTGTCTCTTATTATCTACATTGTACATACAAACCAGCCAGAATGATGATTCAGTCCCCACAGCATATTCTATATAATACTCCTATGATTACATTAGTATATCTGTACTCATTTCTCTTTGTTCTTCATATTACAGACCTACTTGACCCTCCAGTTTACTGATTTGTTGCCATGGAAACAGCCTGTCTCCCTGGACACTGGCTGGACAGTGCTAAGCCCTCTTCATCTATTCATTACCGATTTATTGCCCGACAACTTTGTCATACACCTTACAGCTGGTGGCTCTGTCCTGTCCCCAGGCAGTTATAGTAGGGAAGTGACATTTCACTATTTAGATAAACCATTATCTTTTACTACAGCCATGGCAGGATGGCACAGTATACAAGATATCAACACTGATGATTCTCCCTGTTTTGTACAATCACATTCCCCCTGCCTCACAGAATTTGTCATTTCAGTATTAAGTTCCCTTTAAGTGCCACTTCCACAGCACAGTTGCTCTAAAAATCCTGAGGCAGTCATAGGCTATGATCCAAAATTTGAAATTGAAAAAAAAAATCAAAAAAATCCTGAAACCTAATTTTAAAATAGCCTTTATTATTATGCAGCACCACAATTACTTTGACAATTAAGGAATTGAAAAAAATTGAACAACATTCAACAATGGATCTAAGTCTAGATTTTTACATGGTACTAATAGGCTACATGTAATTAAAACAGCTTTCAGGCTAGGGTACAATAAAACAGTTGGAGACTTAAGCATGGCTGTATACAAATTATAAACTATCAGATCTTTACATGGGGCTTGTGTTTTTTGAATGTTTGTGTTTTACATCCCATCAACAGCTATGGTCATTTCAGGATGTGCCAGGTTTTTGTGGTGGCGAAATTTCAAACCAGATCGAGTGCCAGAGAAAAAACACTGACCTATCTAGATCTGCGGTCAGTACCTGGCAACTGCCCCAAGTGTGAATTTAAATTTAAATTTTTGGGCCTTGAATTTTTTTTGTTCAGTTTTGTAATAGGCATTCCAGTATATATCATACTTTTTTCCTAGTTCTACATTTGAAAGAAAAAATCAAAACAAGCTATCTATCTACAAGCTTAGGTCACTTATTCTACTTTGGCCATTAACTTCTTTTCATGCCATTGTTGTTCAACTATTTCCTTGCTTGACAGGAAAACTTACCGGTACATACACTAAAAACAATCACTAATGATTCCCAGGAGGGAAACAGGTGAATTAATTAAAGAAGTACATGTTCCCCAGAGAGAATATCCCTCCTTTTTTTTCTTTGCAATCTTTCTTTATCAATAACTTCTGCTTTCAACACTCTGCAGTGTATGCCAAATATAACATATGCTATATACTTTTGGTTTCTAAAAAAATAAATAGACATATGTAATGAATACAGGTCAAAAACAGATTTGAATTTTTTTTGCTAAATGTCTTTTTAATTTTAAATTTGTAAGAAATTTTGCTTTTAGACTTTTCATTAAAATTTGTCAGGAAGTGGTCTGTGCATGGTTCTACAAATTTTAATTGTTTACCAATCACACAAGAAATTTTGACAAACTTTGTTTTCTGATTATTTTGAATTGTGCATACCATACAAGTGTAAGGTCTATTTTCACTGTGGCCTAAATCTTTTTGAAAGTCTTATTCCTACCAAATGGTGATTTTAAATAGGAAATTTCATGGAGGACAAAATTTCTTCAAATCCATTTCTTACCAAATCACCTGAAAGCATAAATTTCTCTGTGACAAAATTTCAATATCTCAGCCGACAGATTTCTTTAAAATCTGTTTCTTACCAAATGGGAACTTGACGTTGGCTTGCTGTAGGCGAACCTTATTAATGCTGATGTCTGTCGTTGTCAGCTCTACAAAGGTGGGGGTAAACACACAGGAATCTGTAACCAAACCATAACAAGACATCATACAGGGTTCATGCCTGTCAACTCATTCCACTACTGACTACCAAGAAGGAAAAACAAAACAATGTTTATATATATACATCGTTATACCTGCTAAAAGATCCCTGTCCCACTGCACTGGGGTGTTTTGTATATAAACAATAACCTCCACTTAATTTTGTTTCCGATATAATTGTCAGTTTTGCCAGGACACTTCCACTTTAATGGTAGCTATATTAAGATATACACTTTATTTGATTTATAACAATTATGAAACAAGTTATTTCAACTTGTATCAATCACTCTTGTTGGCCCAGACGCTAGCGTGCGGAGGCTGTTTATGCGGGAGGAACCGGGAGTACCCGTAGAAAACCCACAAGGTCCAGCAGCTGACCCCAGACCTTTTCACACCCAATCGGGGATCGAACTCCAGACACCTTTAGCCTTGGTGAAAGGCAAGTGTGCTATCCTGACTGCGCCACCAGACCCGAGCATGGTAGCTCAGTCATGATCAGTTAGAACAATAGTATACCAATATTAAGTCCGGGGTTCGAACCCTGGTCTAGACTAGATTTTAGCAGTGGTACAGGGACCCTTAACTAGATCCAGGAAAGTTGTATTTTTCTCTCTCTCCAAAAGTTTGAATAGTATCAATTTATGAAGATTTAAACCAAAGGGTAGCCCAACTCTTTCGAGTGCGAGATCAAATTAACTGACAGAACTGTACAGGTATATATGTATATAATATAAAGCTTACTTTACTGTACAGGTATATATGTATATAATATAAAGCTTATAATATAAAAGCGCAAATTTCACACTCAGTCACGGGAATATTTGTGGGGAAAAAAAATGGTGTCACTAATAGTAAATCTAAAAGGTGTAAAAGAAAAAGTGCAATAATTTCAAAATTTGTTCTTCGGAGAAATATAAA